GTACAGAAAACACCTTGGACAAGCTTTTCAAGTGAGAAGTGTTGGATCTGAGAGGGACATGACCTCTCAGTGGCCTCTCACTACTACTACTACTACTACTACTACTACTACTACTACTACTACTCTGCACCTCTCCTTCCGACAGTATTTAAGTCTCCGCACTGTCGCTTGATCTTCAGATAGTTCCTGACTATGGAACTGAACTTCTCCAGGCCGAGGGACTGACAACCTCAAATTCTACGACTTCAAGGGTGATGGACTGATTACATCGTCTTCACATCTCTACTGTTCCTGCCTACTTTCTGTATTCGACTGAAGAAGCCTACTGTGTAGGCGAAACGTTTCGGAATAAAGTTGTCTAACTGTTGCATATGTGTCTTACCTAACACTACTTATGTTCTTATGACATTCCTCAGGTCACGTGCGTCACATCTCACTCTCCGCCTATATATATAATGTCTTTCTACCTCTGTATGTTAGAAGTGATCAAGTTCCCAGGACCGAAACGTTTTCTAATAAATATGTCGTAGTGTTTGCTTACGTGTCTTTCTAAACCAACTTGTCGGTATTTATTACCACGGTTTATACCAACACCAGTAGTTACAGCAACAAAGCTGGACCATGATGGACCGGTACACCAGTAGTTACAGCAACAAAGCTGGACCATGATGGACCGGTACACCAGTAGTTACAGCAACAAAGCTGGACCATGATGGACCAGTACACCAGTAGTTACAGCAACAAAGCTGGACCATGATGGACCGGTACACCAGTAGTTACGGCAACAAAGCTGGACCATGATGGACCGGTACACCAGTAGTTACAGCAACAAAGCTGGACCATGATGGACCGGTACACCAGTAGTTACAGCAACAAAGCTGGACCATGATGGACCGGTACACCAGTAGTTACAGCAACAAAGCTGGACCATGATGGACCGGTACACCAGTAGTTACAGCAACAAAGCTGGACCATGATGGACCAGTACACCAGTAGTTACAGCAACAAAGCTGGACCATGATGGACCGGTACACCAGTAGTTACAGCAACAAAGATGGACCATGATGGACCGGTACACCGGTAGTTACAGCAACAAAGCTGGACCATGATGGACCGGTACACCAGTAGTTACAGCAACAAAGCTGGACCATGATGGACCGGTACACCAGTAGTTACAGCAACAAAGCTGGACCATGATGGACCGGTACACCAGTAGTTACAGCAACAAAGCTGGACCATGATGGACCGGTACACCAGTAGTTACAGCACAAAGCTGGACCAAAGATGGACCGGTACACCAGTAGTTACAGCAACAAAGCTGGACCATGATGGACCGGTACACCAGTAGTTACAGCAACAAAGCTGGACCATGATGGACCAGTACACCAGTAGTTACAGCAACAAAGCTGGACCATGATGGACCGGTACACCAGTAGTTACAGCAACAAAGATGGACCATGATGGACCGGTACACCAGTAGTTACAGCAACAAAGCTGGACCATGATGGACCGGTACACCAGTAGTTACAGCAACAAAGCTGGACCATGATGGACCGGTACACCAGTAGTTACAGCAACAAAGCTGGACCATGATGGACCGGTACACCAGTAGTTACAGCAACAAAGCTGGACCATGATGGACCGGTAAAACCAGTAGTTACAGCAACAAAGCTGGACCATGATGGACCCGTACACCAGTAGTTACAGCAACAAAGCTGGACCATGATGGACCGGTACACCAGTAGTTACAGCAACAAAGATGGACCATGATGGACCGGTACACCAGTAGTTACAGCAACAAAGCTGGACCATGATGGACCGGTACACCAGTAGTTACAGCAACAAAGCTGGACCATGATGGACCGGTACACCAGTAGTTACAGCAACAAAGCTGGACCATGATGGACCGGTACACCAGTAGTTACGGCAACAAAGATGGACCATGATGGACCGGTACACCAGTAGTTACAGCAACAAAGATGGACCATGATGGACCGGTACACCAGTAGTTACAGCAACAAAGCTGGACCATGATGGACCGGTACACCAGTAGCTACAGCAACAAAGCTGGACCATGATGGACCGGTACACCAGTAGTTACAGCAACAAAGTTGGACCATGATGGACCGGTACACCAGTAGTTACAGCAACAAAGCGGACCATGATGGACGCGGTACACCAGTGTTACAGCAACAAAGCTGGACCATTGATGGACCAGTACTCAGTAGTTACAGCAACAAAGCTGGACCATGATGGACCAGTACACCAGCAGTTACAGCAACAAAGCTGGACCATGATGGACCGGTACACCAGTAGTTACAGCAACAAAGCTGGACCATGATGGACCATGGTACACCAGTAGTATACAGCAACAAAAGCTGGACCATGATGGACCAGTACACCAGTATTACAGCAACAAAGCTGGACCATGATGGACCGGTACACCAGTATTAACAAACAACAAAGCTGGACCATGATGGAACCAGTACACCAGTAGTTTACAGCAACAAAGCTGGACCATGATGGACCGGACACCAGTAGTTACAGCAACAAAGGGTGGACCATGATGGACGGGACCCAGTAGTTACAGCAACAAAGCTGGAACCATGATGGACCGGTACACCAGTATTACAGCAACAAAGCTGGACCAGTGAATGGACCGGTACAACCAGTAGTTACAGCAACAAAGTTGGACCAGATGGGCCGGTACACCAGAGTTACAGCAACAAAGCTGGACCATGATGGACCGGTACACAGTATTACAGCTACAAAGCTGGACCATAGATGGACCGGTACACCAGTAGTTACAGCAACAAAGCTGGACCATGATGGACCGGTGTACACCAGTAGTTACAGCAACAAAGCTGGACCATGATGGACCGGTACAACCAGTAGTTACAGCAACAAAGCTGGACCAAAGATGGACCGGTACACCAGTAGTTACAGCAACAAAGCTGGACCATGATGGACCAGTACACCAGTAGTTACAGCAACAAAGCTGGACCATGATGGACCGGTACCCAGTAGTTACAGCAACAAAGCTGGACCAGATGGACCGGTACACCAGTAGTTACAGCAACAAAGCGGAGCATGATGGACCGGTACACCAGTAGTTACAGCAACAAGCTGGGACCAGGATGGACCGGTACACCAGTAGTTACAGGCAACAAAGCTGGACCATGATGGACCAGTACACCCGTAGTTACAGCAACAAAGCTGGACCATTGATGGACCGGTACAAACCAGAGTACAGCAACAAAGCGGACCAGATGGACCGTACACCCGTAGTTACAGCAACAAAGCTGGACAGTGATGGACGGTACATCAGTAGTTACAGCAACAAAGCTGGACCGGTGATGGACCGGAGGTACACAGTAGTACGCAGGGAAGGATGGACCGGTACAGGAGTTCAGCACAAGTGTGGAACCGTACAGTAGTACAGCCAAAGTGGCACTGGATGGCCCGGTACACAGTAAGTGGACCGCACAGATGCTGGAGAGATGTGGACCGGTACAGATGGCGGCAGAAGGTGGACCGTTACAGTGTGGCAGAGCTGAAACCGGTACATGGACCAGAGAGGTGGACCGGTAACAGTGCGCAGTAGTGGACGTACAGAAGCTGGGAGCCAGAGGTGACCGGTACGTAGTCGGCAGAGTGACAGTACAAGTGGACGCAGAGGTGGACGGTAACAGTAGTTACGCAAGAGGTGGACCGTACAGTGTGGCGCAGAGAGGTGAACCGGGACAGTAGTAGGCAGAGAGGTGGACCGGTACAAATGTTGCAGAGAGAGGTGGACCGGTACAGTAGTAGGCGGAGAGAGGGGGACCCGGGACAGTAGTGGGGGAGAGAGGTGGACCGGTACAGTAGTGCGGAGAAGAGTGACCCGGTACAGTAGTGGCGCGTGCAGAGGTGGACCGGTACAGTAGTAGCGGAGAGAGGTGGACCGGTACAGTAGTGGCGGCAGAGAGGTGGACCGGTACAGTAGTAGCAGCAGAGAGGTGGACCGGTACAGTAGTGGCGGGAGAGGTGGACCGGTACAGTAGTAGCGGCATAGAGGTGGACCGGTACAGTAGTGGCGGCAGAGAGGTGGACCGGTACAGTAGTAGCAGCAGAGAGGTGGACCGGTACAGTAGTAGCAGCAGAGAGGTGGACCGGTAAGCAGTAGTGGCGGGATCAGAGGTGGACCGGTACAGTAGTGGCGGCAGAGAGGTGGACCGGTACAGTAGTAGCAGCAGAGAGGTGGACCGGTACAGTCGTGGCGGGAGAGAGGTGGACCGGTACAGTAGTAGCGGCAGAGAGGTGGACCGGTACAGTCGTGGCGGGAGAGAGGTGGACCGGTACAGTAGTAGCGGCAGAGAGGTGGACCGGTACAGTAGTAGCGGCAGAGAGGTGGACCGGTACAGTAGTAGCGGCAGAGAGGTGGACCGGTACAGTAGTGGCGGGAGAGAGGTGGACCGGTACAGTATACGCAGAGAGGTGGACCGGTACAGTCGTGGCGGAGAGAGGTGGACCGTACATGTAGTAGCGGCAAGAGTGTGGACACGGTATACAGTGTGGCGTATAGAAGTGGACCGGTATAGTAGCGCATAGAGGTGAACCGGTACTAGTATACGGCATAGAGTGGACCGTACAGTACTTAAGACGCAGTGTACCGTACATAAGTCGCAGAGAGGTGAACCGTACATAGTAGCAGGCAGAGAGGGGACCCGGTACAGTTACGTAAGCGGGAGAGAGTGGAACCCGGTACCAGTAGTATCGCAGAGATGTGACCGTTACAGTACTTAGCGGGAGAGAGTGGACCGGTACATTCTGGCGGAGAGAGGCTTGACCGTACAGTAGATAGCGTCAGAAGAGGTGGACCGTAACAGTAGTAACGGCAGACTGAGGTGACCGTACAGTATGCGGCAGAAGGTAGGACCGGTACAGTAGTCGCACAGAGAGGTGGACCGGTACACTATGTGGCGCAAGGTGGACCGGTACAACAAAGATGGCGGCGTGGCGCGGATGGTGCACAATAATAATCTTGTAGTGTCACGTTGTGTCACACTTGTATTATCATGCAGCTATTGAAGCCACAGTGGATAAGCCATGATGGTAAGCCACTTACTAACCCACTTAGTAACCCACCTAGTAACCCACTGTTCTTATTAACCCACTGTACTTACTAACCCACTGTACTTATTAACCCACTGTACTTACTAACCCACTGTACTTACTAACCCACTGTACTTACTAACCCACTGTACTTACTAACCCACATGTACTAGTACACCCACTGTACTATTACACCCACTGTAGCTTTGCACTTAACCCACTGTACATTTACTAACCCACTAGTTAGGTCTGGGAATGGTAAGCCACTGTACCTAACCCCACTGTATAAGTAACCCACTCTAGTAACCCACTGTTCTTACTAACCACTGTACTTACTAACACCACTTATTTTAAGTCTGATGTGATAACCACTTATTAACCCACTTAGTAACCCACCTAGTAACCCACTGTACTTATTAACCCACTGTACTTATTAACCCACTGTACTTACTAACCCACTGTACTTACTAACCCACTAGTTAGTCGTGATGGTAAGCCACTTATTAACCCACTTACTAACCCACTTAGTAACCCACTATTAAGCCATGATGTTAAGCCACTTAACCCACTATTAAGCCATGATGTTAAGCCACTTAACCCACTATTAAGCCATGATGTTAAGCCACTTAACCCACTAGTAAGCCATGATTTTAAGCCACTTAACCCACTAGTAAGCCATGATTTTAAGCCACTTAACCCACTAGTAAGCCATGATTTTAAGCCACTTAACCCACTAGTAAGCCATGATTTTAAGCCACTTAACCCACTAGTATGCCCTGAATTTTTAAGCCACTTAACCCACTAGTAAGCCAAAGATTTTAAGCCACTTAACCCACTAGTAAGCCATGATTTTAAGCCACTTAACCCACTAGTAAGCCATGATTTTAAGCCACTTAACCCACTAGTAAGCCATAATGGTAAGCCACTTATGTATCACCTGCCTTATTATTCCTGCTCTTGATTCTCCTGGCTTACCCACCAATTTATTTTATGATGTTTGGGCCCATTATAACCTGGTTCCTTGATGCTGGTGCAGGTGCTCTTGATCCAGGGGGTTGGATCTGTGACCTGGGGGCTAAAGCTGTCGCTTCACACGCGGAGGGTCCGGGTTCGATTCCCGGCGGGTGGAAACATTTCGACAAGTTTCCTTACACCTGTTGTCCTGTTCACTTAGCAGTAAATAGGTACCTGGGTGTTAGTCGACTGGTGTGGGTTGCATCCTGGGTGTTAGTCGACTGGTGTGGGTTGCATCCTGGGTGTTAGTCGACTGGTGTGGGTTGCATCCTGGGTGTTAGTCGACTGGTGTGGGTTGCATCCTGGGTGTTAGTCGACTGGTGTGGGTTGCATCCTGGTGTTAGTCGACTGGTGTGGTTGCATCCTGGGTGTTAGTCGACTGGTGTGGGTTGCATCCTGGGTGTTAGTCGACTGGTGTGGGTCGCATCCTGGGTGTTAGTGGACTGGTGTGGGTGGCATCCTGGGTGTTAGTGGACTGGTGTGGGTGGCATCCTGGGGGACAAGATTAAGGACCACAATGGAAATAAGTTAGACAGTCCTCGATGACGCACTAACTTTCTTGGGTTATCCTGGGTGGCTAACCCTCTGTGGTTAAAAATCCGAACGAAATCTTAGCTTCCCTGGATTAACCTTGAATGCATCTCCCCCCACAGGCTAAACCCTACGGATTTAGCACTTTCCCCTTGATTGTTATGTAATGTATCCCCCTTAAGGGAGGTTCCTTGATACTGGTGAGGGGCTCTTGATCTAGGGAATTAGATCTGTGCTTCAGTTCCCTGAATTAAGCCTGAATACCTTCCATCCTCCCACAGGTGCTGTATAATCCTGCGGGTTTAGAGCTCCCCCCTTATAATAATGCGGATTTTTCGCTTTTGGTTTTTTGGGTCCATTGTGGTGTTAATTGGGGGGTTTGCTCCCTCGTATCAAAACCCCAAGGGGAGGAGGGGGGAGGGTTCTCCCCCGTGAGGGTCTAGAGCCACGTTCAGTGGGACATTATTATTGTCGATTATACTTAAAATTAATTATAGTCATTTTTTTACTGGGATCTTGGGGTTAGCCTTTGGATCAAATCCCCGGCTGCTCCCCCGTGAGGGTTTAGAGCCCCGTGAGGGTTTAGAGCCCCGTGAGGGTTTAGTGCCTCCTGTTAATTAGCATCGGACGGGAGATGCTTATTATTGATTGTTATATTTAATTAAAATTTATAATTATAATTGTCGTTTTCAGGGAGCTGGAGTTGTCCTTGGATCAAACCCCCAGCGGCCTAGTGAGGGTTTAGAGCCTCTCTGAATATCGAGCAGAAAATTATTATTCCCAGTGATTATTCTTAATTAAAACTGATAATAATAATTATAATAATAATTGTTTCAGGGAGCTGGAGTTGTCCTTGGATCAAACCCCAGGGGCCACCATGAGGGTTTAGAGCCTCCATTAATTAATATCAATTGTGAAATGCTTATTACCCATGATTATGCTTAATTAAAACTAATTAATGGTGTTTGTGGCTTTAATGGAGGTGTCTTGATCCAAAGAATTGGAGCAGTCCTCCTCTGCCATGGATTAAACCTGATTATCTAAATGTTGTGTGATCCCCTACAGGTGTAGAGCTTTTGTAATAATTATTGTGATATCCCAGGTTAAATACATGGGTTATCCTAGGTTAAATATTTGCTTATCTTAGGTTAGATATTTGCTTATCCTAGGTTAAATATTTGCTTATCCTAGGTTAAATATTTGCTTATCCTAGGTTAAATATTTGCTTATCCTAGGTTAAATATTTGCTTATCTTAGGTTAAATATTTGCTTATCCTAGGTTAAATATTTGCTTATCCTAGGTTAAATATTTGCTTATCCTAGGTTAAATATTTGCTTATCCTAGGTTAAATATTTGCTTATCCTAGGTTAAATATTTGCTTATCTTAGGTTAAATATTTGCTTATCCTAGGTTAAATATTTGCTTATCCTAGGTTAAATATTTGCTTATCCTAGGTTAAATATTTGCTTATCCTAGGTTAAATATTTGCTTATCCTAGGTTAAATATTTGCTTATCCTAGGTTAAATATTTGCTTATCCTAGGTTAAATACTTGATTATGTAAAGTTAAAAAATAAATTAGCTTAATAATTTCTGCACTGTTATACATAATAACTTGTACGGTATTATACATTACGGTGCCCCGTCGCCTGGTGGCTAAATCTCTCGCTTCACACGCCGAAGGTTTGCGTTCGATTCCCGGTGAGAGTAGAAAAATTGAGCATGTTTCTTTACACCGGTTGTCCATGTTCACCCATCAATAAAATTGATACCTGGGTGTTAGTCGACTGGTGTGGGTCGCATCCTGGATGCTAGCCGACTCATGTGGGCCGCTTGTCTTTCATAGGCTTGCGTCCTGGAAGTGCCTTTTCCTCCTGAGTAATGTAGGTCCTCTTCGACATTTTCTTCCAAAACACGCCTGTTTTGTCACAATTGAACACTTGTTGGGGTTTTAATTTTTCAGTGTCTACGTAAGCCTTAAACTCCTGTACAAACTTCTCAACCGCCCGTTTGTCTGAACTGGCTGCCTCACCATGCCTTACAACAGTGTGTATGCCACTACGCTTCTTAAATCTGTCAAACCAGCCTCTGCTGGCCTTAAATTCACTATCAGCACTGGTTCCAGGAGTTTCCTGTACCAGATTGGCATGCAACTTCCTTGCCATTTTGCAAATAATAGTCTCTGAAACATTACCACCTGCCACAACAACTTCTCAACCTGATCGATTGTCTGTGGTCTTTTTTTGGTTAGCATATTAACATCTTTCGCAACACCAGCTTCCTTGATTTGTTCTTTCTTTGCCAGGATAGAACCGATGGTCGACTTGTTTTTCCCATACATCCTGGCAAGCTCAGCAAGTCTCACACCACTCTCATACTTCTGTATTATTTCCTTCTTCACATCTATGGTGTTTCTCACTTTCTTTACCACAGGTGTACCACTAGCAAGTTTCTTTGGGCCCATGGCAGCTTATTTCACAGTCCCACAAGCACTAAACACAATGAAATAATCGTAAAATGTCTGAATGAGAGCGCAGGTTAGTGCTCACTCAAGCATCAACAAAACCAGACTGGTTCACAGCACCAGAGCAGGCTGGTGGACAGGTCCTGTACCCGGCGGTTCGAAAATAGGGGCGAGTTTGATAATAGGGACAAAGTTGGTTCAAAAAAGGCGTTCGATTTTCGAAGAGTTGATAAGTAATACGTTCGAAATTTGAGGTTCCACTGTATGTCATTGATGTCAGCTATGGTTAAATTAAATCAAAGTTTATTCTCAATAAGGATTACAATGTGGGGTTTACATGTATACCTTGTACATGTATACCTTGTACATGTATACTTTGTACATGTATACTTTGTACATGTATACCTTGTACATGTATACCTTGTACATGTATACTTTGTACATGTATACTTTGTACATGTATACCTTGTACATGTATACCTTGTACATGTATACTTTGTACATGTTACGTACACCTTGTACATGTATACCTTGTACATGTATACCTTGTACATGTATACCTTGTACATGTATACCTTGTACATGTATACCTTGTACATGTATACCTTGTACATGTATACCTTGTACATGTATACTTGTACATGTATACCTTGTACATGTATACCTTGTACAGTCTTATACATTATAACTTGTACAGTCTTATACATTATAACTTGTACAGTCTTATACATTATAACTTGTACAGTCTTATACATTATAACTTGTACAGTCTTATACATTATAACTTGTACAGTCTTATACATTATAACTTGTACAGTCTATACATTATAACTTGTACAGTCTTATACATTATAACTTGTACAGTCTTATACATTATAACTTGTACAGTCTTATACATTATAACTTGTACAGTCTTTATACATTATAACTAGTACAGTCTTATACATTATAACTTGTACAGTCTTATACATTATAACTTGTACAGTCTTATACATTATAACTTGTACAGTCTTATACATTATAACTTGTACAGTCTTATACATTATAACTTGCACAAGTTTACTTCATACATTATGGTTGTAAACAACACATGTTTGGTACCTGTCTTGTACCTGTACACCTGCTCAAGTTATTAGCTGCATTAATAACATTAAATATAGTTATTTCTAGTTTATATGTGTGTTTCAGGGGCAAGATAACTTCAGTGTGGATCTTATAATACAAGTTTTATTTATTTGCAAGTTTATATTCAGATTCTGTAGTTATAAAAATGAGTTGCAGTACAAAGAGAGCCTCTATCATGCCAGAAATGCCTAGGCCTACCTAGGCCTTCTATATAATAAATAATTTATATGTAATAATATTTTATAATATGTAAACCCCACATTGTAATATCAATAGAGAAATAAAGAATTTTAATTTATTTTCTTTAACCCGTTAACGGTCCAAACATATATATAAGTTTTTTCAACATTTGAAAGTGTGTAAAAAAGTAGATCTTTTTGTTTTTTTTACATTTGAAAATGTGTAAAAAAAACTTTGATCTACTTTTTTTTGTTATATTTGAAAATATGTAAAAAAAACGTAGATCTACTTTTGTAGCACTACACGTGTGAACGTAGATCTACTTGGACCGTTTACGGGTTCATCCAGCCCTAGCATTATGGGCAGACTAAATAATGGCTTACACACTACTTAATAATAGAGAAATTGATCATAGTTTAAGTTGTATATCAGTTTTTATTTAGAGCAGACAGTTAGTTTACTCAAATTATATTCCGGGGATATTACATTGGGATAATTTAAAAGTATTTTGTAGATTGTGTATATCAATATTAAATATTTAAGTTGTATTATTGGAGTATAATATTGAGCGTTGGTACTTTAGTTTACAGTATGAGAATGATACAATATGGTGGGCGGCAGTATAGTTCTGTGTAGGTATTTATACTAGAGTGTACTGTTAAGTTATGTATGAACTTTGGGAATCTAAATTTTTAAGTGTTAAGATTTAGGTAACTGGGAGATCTGTTGTGTGTGTTTCAGGAGGCAAGATTATCCTCAGTGTAGATCTTGACCTGTGTCTGTGTTTCAGGAGGCAAGGTTATCCTCAGTGTAGATCTTGACCTGTGTCTGTGTTTCAGGAGGCAAGATTATCCTCAGTGTAGATCTTGACCTGTGTCTGTGTTTCAGGAGGCAAGGTTATCCTCAGTGTAGATCTTGACCTGTGTCTGTGTTTCAGGAGGCAAGTTATCTCAGTGTAGATCTTGACCTGTGTGTCTGTGTTTCAGGGAGCAAGGTTATCCTCAGTGTAGATCTTGACCTGTGTGTCTGTGTTTCAGGAGGCAAGGTTATCCTCAGTGTAGATCTTGACCTGTGTCTGTGTTTCAGGAGGCAAGGTTATCTTCAGTGTAGATCTTGACCTGTGTGTCTGTGTTTCAGGGAGCAAGGTTATCTTCAGTGTAGATCTTGACCTGTGTGTCTGTGTTTCAGGGAGCAAGGTTATCCTCAATGTAGATCTTGACCTGTGTGTCTGTGTTTCAGGAGGCAAGGTTATCCTCAGTGTAGATCTTGACCTGTGTCTGTGTTTCAGGAGGCAAGGTTATCTTCAGTGTAGATCTTGACCTGTGTGTCTGTGTTTCAGGGAGCAAGGTTATCCTCAGTGTAGATCTTGACCTGTGTGTCTGTGTTTCAGGGGGCAAGGCTATCTTCAGTGTAGATCTTCACCCGGATGGTTCACGTTTTGCTACAGGTGGACAAGGTCAAGACTCGTCTGGCCGGGTTGTGGTGTGGAATTTGCAACCTGTTGTGTACGAGAAGTACGAGGAGGATGAGAAGGTAATACAAGAATGATCTCTGTAAAACGGAGTTTTTAGGGTTATTGTGTATGATCTATAAAATGGAGTTTTTTGGGTTATCATGTATGATCTCTGCAAAATGGACGTTTTTTTGGTTATCATGTACGATCTCTGTAAAACAGTTTTTTACAGTATCACGTGTGATTTCTAAATTGTGTTTTTTTTTTTTTCTGGTGGGTAATTTACACACATTACTATGCAAAACAACAACTGTGAAAAAATTGTGAACTTTCAAGCACTTTCATGTTTTTTCACATTATCCTGGATAATGTGAGAAATCACGAAAATGCTTGGAAGTTCACTAGTATTTTTTCACTGTTGTTATTTCACGCATTGTGGTACCACTGTTTACTACGATCTTGTTGCACGTTCTAAATAAACTTAATGTTTCGCAAGTTTATTTAAGTACAGGTACACTGACATCACTGTAGTCTTAAGTTAGGCATTGTAACATTTAAGTTAGGATTAAGATTGTCCAAAATGTTCTACCTAACTACAGACGCCCCTAAATGCCAGAAATCTCTACAAACACTGTATCTTGTGGACATAATTTTTGACCTGACCACATAGTTTAACATGTGTAAATTACCCAGGATAACCCAAAAAGTCAGACAAAGTGACTTTATTTCCATTGTGATTCATGAATGCCACAGTAGCAATGTTCTATTGGTGTCAGTCCAGTACAGAGAAGAACAGTCTTCAGTCCTTTACTCTGAAGATTGATGGATTGAACACATCGACTCCAAGCTGTGGGACTGGCTGCGTCATCTTTTTCTGTTCTTCTCTGTATTTAACTGAAGCAGCCACTGGCTGGCAGAACATTTCTTCAGTAAGGATTCCCAGATGTTGCACAAGTGTCTTATTCCTCAACTTGTGGGTTCCTAAGTTATTGCAACACAAGTATTAGCTTGCTAGAAATGTTCTCATGACCAGTGTTGTCCTGGGCTGCTGGTAAATGTTCTCATGACCAGTGTTGTCCTGGGCTGCTGGTAAATGTTCTCCTGACCAGTGTTGTCCTGGGCTGCTGGTAAATGTTCTCATGACCAGTGTTGTCCTGGGCTGCTGGTAAATGTTCTCATGACCAGTGTTGTCCTGGGCTGCCGCTCTTGTTAAAACTGCAGAACTTGTGGAAATCCAATGTTTTATATTTATTTTTGAGTGAAAGTGAGTGGTTTTTGCATCTGACGTGCTTTTGGGGGTGTGAGCATGGTAATATTATATGTAGGAATGCATGGTAACTAGTCAGCCAGATTCAAGTGCTGGAGATGGGAAGTACAGTGCCTGTACTCTGAAGGACAGGTGGAGGTGGGAAGTGCTTGTACTCTGAAGGACAGGTGGAGGTGGGAAGTGCTTGTACTCTGAAGGACAGGTGGAGGTGGGAAGTGCTTGTACTCTGAAGGAGGTGGTGAGAATGTTGGGGCTCTGAGGATCATTTTGAGTTTTTATCCAGATACTAATAATAGCAATACATAAATACCCGCACATAGGAGAATATGGTAAGACCCCTGTATCTCTGGGCCCAGTATCTGCGGTATCAGTTATCTGCGATATCAGTTATCCGCGGTTTCTGTTATCCACAGTATCAGTTATCCGGATTATCGGTTATCTGCGGTATCATTATCTGTGGTTTCAATTATCTGCAGTATCAATTATCCACAGTTTACTGTGGCTTGAAAATAACTCTTAATTTTGAATAATAATGGCCTCAGAGTGCACAAGTAGCGATGGTGGGAGCTGTGAATGCTTCCCATCGGTGAGAAAGTGTTACTTTTCCACTTATTGTGCATAATTTATCAATTAAACTTTATAATAGGTATGCATAGAAATTAATATATAGGGTTTGCTACTGCCCAAGGTTTCGGTATCCACAGCAGGTCCTTGTAACATACCCCTGTAGATACGGGGCGACTATTGCACCTCTCCCTCCTCTCATTCTCCTGGTCCAGCTCCCCCCTCGTATACATTCTGGATCCCTTACCTTCATGCTTGTGTGTGTCTAGTTAATGGGTCCACGTCGAGCCAAAACATCATCATAAAGTTCATTCTCCCATATGCGGGTATCTGTATATTGTTCCAGTCACGGTATTGTGTTTTTTTTAGTCTTTATAGCAAGACAGGTCATGAATGAATGGTGTAAACTTGGGTCACTGTTGTTGGAAATGGCCGGTGTTAAGAAAAGTAGAGGATAATAAACATAGAATGTATAATGATAAACTCAGCTTAGTAATTGTATTTTAACCCTTAAACTGTCCACACGTAGATCTACGTGCACGTGTGCAGCGCTCCGAAAGTAGATCAACGTTTTTTCACATGCTTTCAACTGGAGAAAATAAAGGTTGGAGCGCTACGCACGTAAACATAGATCTGTGCTTGGACAGTTTAAGGGTTAAAGGGATATAAGATAGTGTATATCATAGTGAATTTGGTCAAAGTGAAGCTAAGGTAAGGACTGTGTTACTTATAGCATAAGTCACTTTAAACAATACAAGTTATAGAAATACAAAATATGTGTATTATGTGTGTGTATGTGTGCATGTATGTGGCTTGATGTATTATGTGTGTGTATGTGTGCATGTATGTGGCTTGATGTATTATGTGTGTGTATGTGTGATGTGGCTTGATGTATTTGTCTTGCTTACAATACACTGATATTATGTATTGCTTAGTATTTGTACACGTGAGAATGCTGTAATGTCTTCAGTTTTTTCACATTCTGTATTTTATATTCATTTTATGAGGTATCAGTTTACGACTGTTGTTGTGAGGAGGAGAGGAATCCTGGGTGATAAGAACATAAGAAAAAAGGAACATTGTAGCAGGTCTATTGGCCCCTACTAAGTGTTAGGGCAGGGGTGGGCAAACTGCGGCCCGCCAAAGGTTTTCATGCGGCCCGCCAAAAGTTTTCATGCCAAGATCTGAATGAGCAAAAATTTTCTTATTTTCCTCTGTTGAAAACATGAGCTGTTACACAAGCATTATCACAAGTCCAGTTCCCAGTTGATGGCTCTGAAAAGTTTGCTCACCCCTTTGTTAGGGTCTGTGTTGGATCACAAATCAATCACTTGTGGCTTCACCCCCTTCAAGGTGGAATGGATACTGCAGTGTTCTTGATAATCAGTAAGACACATATGGAACAGTTAGGTATCTTTATGCAAAAAATGGTTTGTCTACACATTAGGCTTGTTCAGTCAAGTGCAGAGGAAAAAGCAAGAGTGGTAGAGATGTGAAGATGATGTAATCAGTCCATCAGCCTTGAAGACATAGTCCTGAGGTGGTCAGTTCCTCAGCCTGGGAAAGAGTTTTGCTCTATAGTCTGGAATAATTGTTCCTATTGCTGAATAAAGTTACCTAATTGTTGCACAGGTGTCTTACTGAACAACTTGTCAGTATTGTGTACCATTATCATGGTCAACGTGCCTGATGCAAGGCAACTCTTTCCCTGGATCAGACCTGATTACCTCCCATCCCCCAGGCACTATGGCCCCTACAGGCTTAGTGTTTCTTGTGCATGTAATATTAAACATTACATAATTGTTCAGGAGGGACAAAAAGAGAGTACAGTGGACCCTCGCATAACGTTGGCATCACATAACGTTAAATTCGCATAACAATACTTTTAATGCTAACATTTTCCCTCGGATAACGTTAAAAAAATCACTTAACGATATTCGTTCTTGGGTACCAATTAATATCGTTATGTGAGGGTCCACTGTATACAACTTCCTCTTAATGTGTGTGAGGTGACTGACTCCTCAGTTTAACAGTCCAATAGAGGGAAGCGGACGGCCAGTAATGGCCAGTGTGACAATAACACCTGCCGTGACTGGAACAATACACAAATAAGCCGCACACAGGAGAGAAAAGCTTACGATGATGTTTCGGTCCGACTTGGATGGAGACGAGATGGTTTTTCCTGACAATTATGGACACTTGTAAACCCAAGAAATTTTGTTGTTTCCAGATAAGATGGGCACGAGGTGCATAATGAAGATATTAAAGATATCAGTTGATCCAGCGGACATTGTATGCCCCTGTTGGTTGAGCACTTAGTTTTGATTATAATAACAACGATCAAGTGCATCTTCTCTCGTATTTCCCAAGTTCATCCAATTGAGGCTTCATTATATTCCTTCATAGGAAGTGTATTATTGGTTGGTAGCATAGCTGTTCTTGGTGTTTGTGTTGCACGCAAGTAGTACAACCTCAAATATACTCTTCCACAGTAGTTAATGTTTTGTATGTTACACAAAGCAAAATGGACATTGATCAGTTGTCGGCATCTGGAAAATGAAACTCGTAACATACCCCCCCCCCATAAGAGATTTAAAATTGTAATATCAGCCAAGACAGCAGAAACTATTTAATAGTGCCATCAAGTTTACGATAATTATTGCATTGTGTGCAGAGAACTTCATAGCTCTTGCCATATTGTAATACTTTTTTTAAATTGAAAAGGAGTTGTGGACAGCCTGTGTATTTCTGAAGTGTCATCGAGTCCAATGACTCTTACCTGAAACCCAACACTTAGCTCACTATGAAGTTTTTGTCTCTGAATGGTATTTAACGTAGCGTGCAGATTTAAAATGATTTACAGCTTGTCCACAAATTGAAAAAAAGTTTTAAACGATGTTTTGGTTTGTTGTGGGCAAACATAACGTTACTTGTTGCTAGATAATAGTCGACAGTGAAGCAAAGTGTTTTGTGAATCTTCACTTCCGGCTGGTAGCTCACTTGTCAAGTATTTCAGCCACAGTTACTGTAACTTCAGTATTTCAGCACATACTGCTGAAAGCAGCTAATTAATCACACTATAAAAATATTTTACATATTGGCTAAATTTTTGTCGAACACTTGAATTATTGTTGAGTCATTAACAGAGATAATTTCTGTAGGTTCCCAAGTTACTGTGCCAACTGGATCAGCATTTAGGCTGCGTGAACACTGTACGTTGGTCTTGTAGTGGCCGATATTTGGCCTCGGCCGGAGACGATAAAGTTATTATTATCTGGCAGCAGAGCAGTTATGGAGGTGAGTGCACATTGATTATCAATTTCCATCACAGCTTCAATTATTCTGAGGATTTTAGTGAGAATGTGGTGACTCAAATATGTCTATCAGTATTTATACTGGAAAATATCATGGATTTTTTTTATTGGCAAACCAGTGTGAATTATAGTTGAAATCCCTTGGAGGAGGGTGACTTGATCCTGGTGCTAGGCTCTTGATTCAAGGAATTAGAGCTTTTCTTCCTTAGTATTTTACCTAATTCCCTCACAAGAGCTAAGAAGTGCTGCTTATTTCCACTGTGGTCCTCTTCCCCAGGATGCCATCCACAAAAGCCAACTAACACCTGTGTACTTTAGCACCATACTTACTTTAAGGTCAACAGATGTACAGAGACATACACCATTTTCATTCCCATTTCCCTAACTCTTGTCTTAGTAATTTTAGATAAGCATTACTTGTACTCCCCTTTTAAGTTTTATATATTGGATATTGTTCTTTAAAAGCTCATAATTATTGACGGTAAAGGAACGACACTAAGTTGGTGGTGTCTGGTCTTCATTTAGTTTTGTAAGGTCATTACTGCCTCTAAAACTTTTACTTCCTTCTAATACTCTTACTTCTAAAACTCTTACTGGCTTCTAAAACTCTTACTTGCTTCTAAAACTCTTATTTGCTTCTAAAACTCTTACTTGCTTCTAAAACTCTTACTTGCTTCTAAAACTCTTACTGCTTTAACTTACTTCTAAAACTCTTATTTGCTTCTAAAACTCTTACTTGCTTCTAAAACTCTTACTTGCTTCTAAAACTCTTACTTGCTTCTAAAACTTACTTGCTTCTAAAACTCTTACTTGCTTCTAAAACTTACTTGCTTCTAAAACTCTTACTTGCTTCTAAAACTCTTACTTGCTTCTAAAACTCTTACTTGCTTCTAATTGCAAACAGAATTTTCTAAGCATTTTTTCCTCAGCTTTTTCTTTATTTATTGTTATGGTCACTTGTTTATTTTTTCTGTGTATGTCCGTGTATGCAGACTTACTTGTTGTAGTACTTGTCTGTATGCATGTGTGTATGCATGTATATTTAGCTGTGTATCTGCATTGCTGTATATTGTGTGCATGTGTGTGTATGAACATTTAAACATGCTAGTTTTAATATGGAATTTCAGTCACTCCTTCATTTATGTGAATATAAACATTCGTGTGCACGTGAACATACACACATAAGCACATACAGCTACACACACACAAAACACAGTCCTCATTTAGCAAGTCTTAAGAGCATCCTCCAGGAATGTCAAGAGTCATTCTGGGCCATTTATAAACCATACCACGGGCGGGATTGAACCCGCGGTCAGAGAGTCTCAAAACTCCAGACCGTCGCGTTAGTTTTGAGACTCTCTGACTGCGGGTTCAATCCCGCCCGTGGTATGGTTTGTTTGCAATCGTGTCATTACGATTTCGTGAGTCATGGGCCATTTATACATCGCATTGGACCCGGCTTTGAGTACGCAGCACCAGTATGGAATCCACACTTGAAGACCCATGTTAAGACACTGGAGAGTGTGTACGTGTATGCAACGAGGCTTGTTCCTGAGCTACCTACCTACCTGGAGTCTGCCTGGGGGGCATTCCGAGGATCCATGCCCCCGCGGCCCAGTCCACGAGTACACAGATAACCTGCTCGTAAGAGAGAGAAACTTATGACAACATTTCAGTCGAACTTGGATCACTTACATATTAATTGTCCAGGTCAAACTGGAACATCGTGGTCAGCTCCTCCTATACGGGTTATTTGTGTATTTTCCAGTCACTGTGTTGTGCCTTTTTATTCTTTATATGTAAAATTATATGTAACAGTTACATATAAATTATATGTAAAAAATCTAATTCTAGAATTCTCACCAAAATTAAAATTTGGGAGACTCCCATTATTTTCTTTTTGGGATAGAACCTTTACTACAAACATTGTTATGTTGACAGGTATATATTATGCAACTTTGCTTACAATTAATACACTTACGTTGACATTCCTGTGTGTTTGTTAATACAGTGGTGCTCTGGTATCCACAAGGGATACCTTCCAAGACCTACCGTGGATACCCAAACACTATACATAAGCTTTTTTGTTTACATACATACTAGTATAAAGTTTAATTGATAAATTATGCACAATGAGTGGAGAATTATCACTTTTTCACTGATGGGAAGCACTGGACAGCTTCTCTGAGGCTGTCAACAACTGCCACCATCACTACCTTTGTGCTTGGTGCCATTATTAAGCAGGATTAAGGCTTATTTTCAGGCCACGGTAAACCGTGGATAACTGAAACCTCAGAAACCAAATCTGCAGACACAAGGATTCTACTGTAGTTCTTAGTAGTGTACTATTTCCTCTACAGCTCAGGTATGGTGTGTGATGGGGCTCTGGAGAATGAGGATCTTCAAACCATTAACCGATATAAAAATGTTTAAAAATCATTCTCGGTATAATTTCTTGAGAGATACAATTCACAGAGATTTTCTAATGCTTTTACCCTAACAGGCATATCCCGATAAGGCAGAATTTATGGGTTCAAACACTGTTGTTTGCAGGTGGAGCAGTTTTTGGATCTAATGTAGTGAATGTTGAGTCGTGGCGAAGCGTTGCAACATTACGAGGTCACGAGGGAGACATCTTGGATGTGGCCTGGTCCCCGGGTGACCTATGGCTGGCATCGGCATCGATAGATAACAATGTTATCATATGGAATACATCTAAATGGCCAGGTGAGTCCAGGTTGGAATGCCTTGTTACACTCAACTTTATTATAAAGTTCTAGTATGTAATAATAATAATAATAATAATAATAATAATTTTTTCTCCATGGGGAAGTGGAACAGAATTTTTCCTCTGTAAGCCATGTGTGTCGTAAGAGGTGACTAAAATGCTGGGGACACCACTTTTGTACTTTGCTACGAGTTCTTTCTTGAATTCTATTGTGTTTCTCACCTTCTTTATCAAACGGCTGGCACTCGGAACTTTCTTTGGCCTCATGGTGGCTTATTTAGCAGTTGCACTCAATAAACAAGCACAAAAAAAATAGATTATTATGAAATGTTTTGATGAACGCGCGGGGTGGTGCTCACTCAACGAGAAACAAAGGCAGACTTAGTTACGAACACATGGGATGCTTTGTGTGGGCGCTTGAGTGGCCAAGTCACGTGGACACGTTTGGTACGTACCATTTTCAACTCTCTGAAAACTGAGCGGGTATACAAAAACTGGGACAAAATTTTGACGAAAAAAGTAGTTGAAAACTGAATCCTATGAAAATTGGGGCATGTGAAAACTGAAGTTCCACTATAAAGTATACACTGCTGTATAAACATTTAACCCTTTGGTTGTCGCAAGCCCCTTTCTGAAACTGTCATTTTATGTTGATAAATTTTTGAAAAAAAAATTATTTTTTCTTATGAAATGATAGAGAATCTATTCCCGATGGTAATGACACCAAAAGTTCGAAATTTGGTCGAAAACTCACGGAATTATGCTCCCGCGAAGTTAGCGGTCTCGGCAACATATGCATATCGGCAATTTTGCCAACTTTGAGCCCTGTTTTCAGCCAATTCCGTTGTTCCAGTTGACCAAACTCATAGCTATTTCTTTAGAACTCCATTTTTTCTATCAATTGAGTACAAAAAACTGCCCATTTACCGATTTGAACTACCCAATAAAGTGGTTAGAATTTGGCAATTTGGCCAATTTCACGCAAATTAAAAAAGATGCCAATTTCAAAATAGGGTCCAGAATAAACAGTGTAGACATTCTTGGCACTAAAATAACATATCCACTGTTCATTAGTCACATCTCTAGGCCCCTCTTATATTATTATTACTTTCTATTTTGATTTTTTATTCATACAAAAAATACAAAATTTACTGTTATGCAGTTTACTGCATTATTGTAAAAATGGTATAAATAATATCAGTGCACTAGTGAAGAATATTAGACTCCCCAGTTGACGTGTAATGGACGTGTGGTGTAATTTGCTTACTCCTGAACATTGGTAAAAATCGAACATTTCCGCTACTTTGAGCTCAGTTTCAAGGTCGTTTTCATTGTGAAACTAATCAAGATCATCTCTATTTCTGTAATATGTTTTCCATTTTATCACGTGAGACCATGAAAAAGAGAATACAACGATAAATACTATACAAAAATACACCTCAAAGTCAGCGTTTTAATCCAAAAAAACGATCAGTTTTTTTTTCTCATTATGCACTGTGTGCTGCAGGATTTTTTTATGTGGTGCACACTGACCACACAGACTGTTGAGAAATGGGATTACCAGCTAAGCTTATTAAATATAGGAAAAACTTAACTTAGGAAGACAGCTCATCGCCTGCTCAGCCGCCCCTGCAGACGAGGTCTTGAGAAGCTGTCGAAGTCATTCCTCAACGGGCTGTAATGAGTTATAATTTGTAAGATTATAAATTACCCCTAGGGGGTGTTATGTCAGCATATTTCATTCACTGATTGCTGACAAATTACATACTTGTTTGGACTCATAAGTCCGCACCTAACTGCCGACTATAGGTTGATTACAAACTCCTTGCGACTCAAGAACTGCGCAGTCCCCCGTACTACAAGAAATTCGTAACCTACCTTACTCTTGTAGCGTGAGCTATGGTGTTCTTCACACCTTCGACAGATATCGGTGACTTTATAGAAGCTGAAGTGTCCTTGGATGTTCACGTCTTCCATAGTCTAGGAATACGCACACTGGTATACTATGTTCCACAAGATTTGTCTTTATTGTTCACAATCTTATCACTAAAGAAGCTCATCACACTTCTCTGTAAGTGTTTATTGTGTTTTATGAGACACTTTGTTCACACTAACGCACAGATCGTTCTTTGTTGGTTATCCTGGCATCAGTGTCACTCTCAGTAGAGTCAAAAGTAATCTGAAGATGCCACAGCGCCCTGCGCCGTCACTGCCCCCAGCACAAAGGAAAAGCTGACCTAGTACTTTTTGCTTCCTTGCCACTTCCTCCATGAAGCAAAGCAGAATGCTTGATTCTTGCTGTCTTAAGCATAGACAACAATGTACACTATCTTTACCATAGTAATAAAGTGGGAGCAGGATTTTCCTTAATTGTCCTGCTAAGGTAAGAAATGGACTGTCTTTTATTAAAATACACTTTGCAACACTGGAGTCTTGCACGGAGCGGTGGTCGCTTGACCACACGTGCATACTGGTACTGCATCTGGAATCAATTACTCGCTGTAGCAGTAAAGAAGACGCTTGCCCCTTCTGAGAGGGCTGGGCCCCTCAGGGCTGAAAGGGGCTGATACCCCCCTCCTGGAGAAAATTTCTCCACACAGACCCATTCTCTCACATGTGGGCCTACCAGCTTTCTCCCACTTGATTTGAAGCCGCTATAATTATTGAATATGTATACGTCAGAAACAGTGGCGCATAAGACGTATTTATATGGCGTAAACAGTCAAAGGGTTAAAAATATACTAAAAATATTATAAATGGTGCAAAGGTGACAATAAAACAATATCGAAGATGGTTGACACAAACCCACTACCATTATAGTATGTTCCTCACTTAGTGACGAATTTGTTTACCAGGTGGTCCTAGGAGCGCAACTCCGTCGTTAAGTAAGGAGAGGCTGTAAACCCAAGTGTTGCATTTGTTTCTAATTTATCAACTAGTCAGTTCTCTGAACCATTTTTCTGTGAAAGCATTGCATGTCTGTTTATTTCAGCTTGTGAACAAGTTATGTTGCTGGTGTTTCAACTTGCAACAATACACAAGTAGATAAATTTATCAACATGTCGGTTCTCTGAACCATTCATCTACAAATACACAAGTAACTCAGACATAGGAGAAAGAAACTCAGGATGACATTTCTGTCCGATTTGCACTATTAACTGGCCACTTTAGTCCAAGTTGGACCAAAACACAGCCATAAGTTTCTCGTATGTGAGGGTTATTTGTGTATCATTTCAGTTGCTGTATCGTGTCTTTTTCTTTTAACTTACAATAAACTTCCCTATAGCTAACAATACCACAGAGATTAGAGAGAATTGAAACAAGTGGATTTTAGGACTATTTTCAAGACTGGTTGTTTTTTCTAATTTGACAGAGCAAGTACGGGTTTTAAGAGGTCATACTGGTTTAGTGAAAGGTGTTACATGGGACCCAGTCGGTCGTTACCTGACTTCACAGGCAGATGACAAGAGTCTACGTATCTGGCGTACCACAGACTGGGCCACAGAAGAGAAGATTATTGACCCCTTCACAGAGGTAAGTTCATTACTCAAAGCCTAAAACTTTGCTGGGAAAAAATGAGAATCACAATATGTGGGAAGTAGAGTGCCTGTGCTTTGAAGGAGGGGTGGAGATATGTTGCAGTTTTGGTACTGTAGTGTCAGCACCCTTCTGGCAAGACAGTGATGCAGTGAATGATGGTGAAAGTGTTTCCTCTTTTCTTTTTTGGGTCGCGCTACCTCGGTGATAGGTGGCTGATGTGTTAAATAAAAAAAAATTGTAGATTTGTAGTTCTTATATTTCTTTTTTGAAACAGTGTGGCGGAACGACAACAGTTCTGCGGCCAGGCTGGTCTCCGGACGGTCAGTACCTGGTGTCTGCTCATGCCATGAACAACGGAGGTCCCACGGCTCAGATTATTGATCGTGACGGCTGGAATACTGATAAGGATTTCGTAGGACATCGCAAACCTATAACATGTGTGGTAAGTACAGTGTTGTGATGAGCACAGTGTTGTAATGCCGTGTTGTGATTGTGTACACAACATTCTTAACACATTGGTTGTTTCTGCAGCAAGACAACAATCATCCTGGCAGTGTTATCATCCTCTCTTATCACTGTGAAACTGAAAACTGATAATTGTTTTGCTCTCATGAGTGATCATCCTTTCTTTGTCTGACAAACATGTAAGGTGACACATAAATCTCTCAAACTTCTACTTACAGTAAGCATCTGAAGCATGTTAAAGGTTTTGCACTGTGGCAGGATTCCTCATTCTTTTGCAGACATGTAAGATGACAGATAAGTCTCACAAACTTCTCTTCGAGCAAAATTTAATCTCTAATCAATGTTTGTTCTGCCTTGATTGTGGTTCCACCATATCATTAATGCCTCTGTAACTTTTTCAGCGATTTAATCCTAATATCTTGAAGAAAGCTGACCCGACGACAGGGAAATCTGTACAGTATTGCTGTGTGGCGATTGGCTCGCGTGATCGCTCCATCTCCATCTGGTTCACTTCCCTCAAGAGACCCCTGGTGGTAGTACATGACATCTTTGATGATTCTGTAAGTTGTTAAATTGAATTGTCTGTGTGTATACAGTGGACCCCCGCCTTACGATGTTATTTCATTCCAGAAGTCTGTTTGGGTGCCGTTAGAGACCGAATTTGTTCCCATAAGGAATATTGTGAATTAGATTAGTCCGTTTCAGACCCCCAAAAATACACGTACAAAAGCACTAACAAAAATACACTTACACAATTGGTCGAGTTGAGAGCTGATCGTAAGGCGGGGGTCCACTGTATTTAAGTTTTTTCTGTGGAGAGCGAGGGGTTGATGGAGAGGGTGTATAACTCTGGGGTGGGAAAGGGAGGGGTTGGGGATGGGCCATTCCACCAATTATTTGAAGGAGGGGATAAAATGAGCTTTGAGTTTTAGGGGCTTGAACATCCAGCAGGCTTATGTGAGGGTGTTACAGCAGTGAATGGAGATGAGTGGTTTTATAATGGACATGTTGTTGGAGTGTGAACCAGGTCAGTTTTATGAAGGGATTCAGGGAAACAAGTTTGCCAGACTTAATAATAACTTTATGCTAAACACTGACTTGTAATACTGAGTTCTTTGTATTAACTTAATATAGTATACAAACTATACACTAAATAGTTTATTGTTCACTCATTAATACATGTATTTGATTAGTCAAACTGCATATTCGAGTGTACATTGACTTACGACACCTTTATTGACGATGTTTTGCTCCTTGGACCTTGATTGTTTGAAGTGATCAAGGTCCAGTCACAGAAATGTATTTGTTAGAGGTGTCCCAAGTGAGTGCATTTGTGTGTATTCCTCTCAAGTTGCAGACGCTTGTTTACCTTCTTAGCACATCTCCGAGTAACTTTATACTGGTGGTCCTTGACTTACAACGGGGTTACGATGCGATGAACCATCATACCTGGAGGGGGTTTTGGGGGGCATCTTAAGTTGAATATGAATATGATTTGATAAATAAATAACTAGTGTCAATGAATAAGTCACTAAATAATTACTGTTACTATTTTTTTAACACGTTGGTCATCTCCCATCAAGGCAGGTGACCCAAAATGAAAGAAAATCCTCAAAAAGAAAATACTTTCATCATCATTCAACACTTTTACCTCACTCATACATAATCACTGTCTTTGCAGAGGCACTCATATACAACAGTTTAGAAGTCCCTCCAAACTGTCAATATCCCAGACTCCTCCTTTAAAGTGTAGGCATTGTATTTCTCATTTCCAGGACTCAAGTCCGGCTAAATCTATAATAACTGGTTTCCCTGAATCCCTTCACTAAATATTACCCTGTTCACACTCCAACAGCTCGTCAAGTCCCAAAAACCATTCGTCTCCATTTACTCCTATCTGACACGCTCATACACGACTGCAAGTTTATCACATTAATGTACAGCGGTGTTATCACACCATTGTAATATTGAAATATCATGAGTTGAACTATCATAAAGCAAGCAACATCCCTGTGTGTATTTTCTTATGTGTTATGATAAGCGACGTGCTATTTAAACAGGTGCTGGATCTCTCATGGAGCAGTTGTGGACGATACTTGATGGCAGTGTCTAAAGATGGCACTCTCGCCTTCATCAATTTTACTTCTGAAGAAATAGGATATCCGCTGTCGGAAGATGAAACGGTTAGTTAAATATTAAAAATTTTTGTTATTAATGTTTGTGGTTTCCAACGGAAAGCTTTGTCTAATAATTCGTATCTGCATGAGTGTGAAGCGTGGGCTGTAAACACTGCAGTGAGGTGGAAGCTGGAGATCATGGAGGTGATGTGTGGTGTGAATATTATGCAGAGAATTCAGAGTGTAGAAATTACAAGACAGTGTAGGATTGCCAGAAGTTGAGTTCAGAGAGCTGAGGATGGATTATAAAGAGTAGTTCATGCATTTAGAGAGGATAAACCAGAGCAGGATAACTAAGAGTATGTGATATAAGTGGTTTAGAAAGGATAAACCAGAGCAGGATAACTAAGAGTATGTGATATAAGTGGTTTAGAAAGTATAAACCAGAGCAGGATAACTAAGAGTGTGTGATGTAAATAATTCAGAAACCTGACAAGGTGAAGAACGAGACGTTCGTGTAACATTTAGAAATCTCTATTCCTAAATAACAAAAAGTTTATTTCAGCACAATACATGTATTAACCCTTTGACTGTCGCGGCCGTATATATACGTCTTACGAGGTACCGTGTTGGACGTATATACATTCATAAATTCTAGCGGCTTCAAATCAAGCAGGAGAAAGCTGGTAGACCCACATGTGAGAGAATGGGTCTGTGTGGTCAGTGTGCACCATATAAAAAAATCCTGCAGCACGCAGTGCATAATGAGAAAAAAAAAACTCCGTCCGTTTTTTTTTTAATTAAAATGCCGAATTTGTGGTGTATTTTCATATAGTATTTATGGTTGTATTCTCGTTTTCTTGGTCTCATTTGATAGAATGGAAAACATATTATAGAAACAGAGGTGATTTTGATTGATTTTACTATAAAAAGAACCTGGAAATGGAGCTCAAAGTAGGGGAAATGTTTGATTTTTGCCCATGTTCAAAAGTAAACAAATGATGTCATTGTCCAATAAATGTCCAACTAGCCATTCTAATATGCAGTCATGAATGGGTTGATGTTATTTATACAATTATTACAAGTATTGCAGTAGTCTGCATAATAGTAAGTCTTCTATTTTTTGTTTGAATAAAAATTCAAAATAGAAAGCAAGAGTAATATCAGAGGGGCCTGGAGACATGACTGATGAACAAAGAAAATGTTATTTTAGAGCCAGGAATGTCTGCATTGTTCATTCTGGACCTTATTTTGAAATTGTCATATTGTTTAATTTTCGTGAAATTGGCCAAATTGCAAATTTCTGACCACATTATTGGGTAGTTGAAATCGGTAAATGGGCAGTTTCTTGTACTCAATCGATAGAAAAAATGGAGTTCTAAAGAAATAGCTATGAGTTTGGTCGACTGGAACAATGGAATTAGCCGAAAATAGGACTCAAAGTGGGCGAAATCGCCGATTTGTAAATATTGCCGAGGTCGCTAACTTTGCGAGACCGTAATTCCATCAGTTTTCCATCAAATTTCATTTTTTTTGGTGTCATTACAATCGGGAAAAGATTCTCTATCATTTCATAAGAATTTTTTTTTTTTTTTTTTTTTTTTTTTTTTTTTTTTTTTTTTTTTTTTTTTTTTTTTTTTTTTTTTTTTGAAATTTTGCAACACCAGGAGACACCTAAGGATTGGAGGTTGCGACAGTCAAGGGGTTAATGTTGGTAGAATTATCAACAGCATGTTAGGTAAGACAACACAATTGCAACTAACAGCTTGACAAAGCTCCTGGAGAGCACAACGTCGCCACAGTAAAACCTCACATTAGTTGCACTTGTGTCCTCTTACCTAACACCATAATAAATGTTTGTACAGAGGAGAATAACAATTGAGTGTATGTGCCAAAAGCCCCTTTATATGCAGAGCATTTTGGTTGAACTTAAGACTAACTTGTGATTGATTAGGCAATAACAGTGCAGTGATTTTGTACATATGGTCATTAGGTGAGTTTATAATGAATACAAGAGAATTCAATATTCTATTAGTTCATGCAATATGGCTCTAATAAGTTTTGTAGAGAAGAATTACAGTTTTTGATTATTAAATGTTGGGGAGGGTCATCTCAGGAAAGGTTGGAGGGAGGAAGTAAAGGAGGTTTTAAGTGGGAGGTCTTGGACGTCTAGCAGTCTGTGTAAACATGTTAATCAGAATGAACAGAGACAAGTGGATTTTGTGCTTTGATGTCCTGTTTTAGTGTGAGCAAGGTAACATTTATGAAGGGATTCAGGGAAACCGGTTAGGCAGACTTGAGTCCTAGAGGTGGGAAGTACATTGGCTGTACTGTGAATGATAAGTGTGGGAGGTTACAGCTGGAGGGTCATCTGAACTGTAATATCAGTATATTTCTGGCAAGACAATGATTAAATAAATCCTGGTGACCATGTATAAAGTTTGCTTCCAGTATATTATTGCTGCATTGCTTTTACAGTTGAGGTTCTATATGTGTAAAGTTCTGCTTCTGCCCCCAGAATAATCTTCATATGAAACTGTATGGTAAATCTGCTCGAACTACTGCATCATCAGTCAACCCAACGATCATTGAAAACCCCGAGCTACTCCGTCTTAGAGAAGAGGAGAGACTACGGGCTAAGGCAGCAAACGCCAGGTACATGTCAAGTAATCTGTCTGTTATTCTGAGCTTGCTATACTCCCCCAGTACAGCCTCTCCTTACTTAGTGACATACTCATTTACTGACCGCTCGGACTTATGACCGGCTCTCCAACCAGTATGCAAACCTAAATGATGTATATTAGAGCTGATTTCCTCTATTCTATTTATTACAGTATACAGTACACTATAAACATTTAAAAATATACCAGAAATGTTATAAATGGTGCAAAGATGGCATTAAAAAAATATCTAAAGATAGTTGACACCAACCCACTTCCAGTACAGTATGCGCTTCGCTTAATGACCAGTTCACTTACCGACCTATTCTTACGAATGTAACCCCGTCGTTTAGTGAGGAGAGGCTGTAATCTGTCTGGTATTTTGAACTTCCCCAGTATATAGAAGAGGAATGATCCAGGGAGCAGGTGGGGGTTGAACCCATGGCCAGTGAGTTGTAAAACCCCATGGGTTGAAAACTCCCGGTGTGTTTTCAGTCATGTTGTTACAATTTCATGAGTCATGATGGAGAGGACTGTTACAACTGGATGATGTTTGTTATCATATTGTCAGTATTCAGTTTATTTCACTTCTTTTTCCCACTGTCATGTCTACATGTTTTTTTCTGGTGTGTGTGTGTGTGTGGTGCATTTGGGTATTGATTTCCATCTGTTTCTTGTTCTTGTTTCATCCGTGTTAAAGTGCCTCGTTTATCCTATCCTTGTATAGTGTGATCCATTCTTCTTTCAACGCACCGGCAGTATCCCACCCAGGCAGGGTGACCCTAAAAGAAAAACAAAAGTTTCTCTTTTTAACTTTAGTAATGTATACAGAAAGGGTTACTAGCCTTTTGCTCCCGGCATTTTAGTCGCCTCTTACAACACGCATGGCTTGCGGAGGAAGAATTCTTTTCCACTTCCCCATGGAGATAAGAGGAAATAAACAAGAACAAGAACCAGAAAGAAAATAGCAGAAAACCCAGAGGGGTGTGTATATATATGCTTGTACATGTATGTGTAGTGTGACCTAAGTGTAAGTAGAAATAGCAAGACATACCTGAAATCTTGCATGTTTATGAGACAGAAAAAAAGGACACCAGCAACCCTACCATCATGTAAAACAATTACAGGCTTTCATTTTACACTCACTTGGCAGGATGGTAGTACCTCCCTCGGTGGTTGTTGTCTACCAACCTACTACCACAGGATGGTAGTACCTCCCTGGGTGGTTGCTGTCTACCAGCCTACTACCACAGGATGGTAGTACCTCCCTGGGTAGTTGCTGTCTACCAACCTACTACCACTGGATGGTAGTACCTCCCTGGGTGGTTGCTGTCTACCAACCTACTACCACAGGATGGTAGTACCTCCCTGGGTGGTTGCTGTCTACCAACCTACTACCACAGGATGGTAGTACCTCCCTGGGTAGTTGCTGTCTACCAACCTACTACCACTGGATGGTAGTACCTCCCTGGTGGTTGCTGTCTACCAAACCTACTAACCACAGGATGGTAGTACCTCCCTGGGTGGTTGCTGTCTACCAACCTACTACCACAGGATGGTAGTACCTCCCTGGGTGGTTGTAGGTTGGTAGTTGCTGTCTACCAACCTACTACCACTGGATGGTAGTACCTCCCTGGGTGGTTGCTGTCTACCAACCTACTACCACAGGATGGTAGTACCTCCCTGGGTTGTTGTTGCTACCAACCTACTACCACAGGATGGTAGTACCTCCCTGGGTGGTTGTTGTCTACCAACCTACTACCACAGGATGGTAGTACCTCCCTGGGTGGTTGTTGTCTACCAACCTACTACCACAGGATGGTAGTACCTCCCTGGGTGGTTGTTGGCTACCAACCTACTACCACAGGATGGTAGTACCTCCCTGGGTGGTTGTTGTCTACCAACCTACTACCACAGGATGGTAGTACCTCCCTGGGTGGTTGTTGTCTACCAACCTACTACCACAGGATGGTAGTGCTTTAAGGTGACCTCTGACACTGACCTAACTCTCAGAGACTTTTGGAAGTCATTTCAACATCGTCTAGTGTGCGAGGCTGATAAAGCCTGGCAAATACAGTTTCCCACATGAACTTTTTGCAGTTCCAACACCATCTAGGAGCCAGTTCGGTTCAAACATTGGGGTTCCACTATATTATTTCAAGTGAATGAAAACGAAAGAGTTCCCAAGATGTGTTTTAACCAGTCTTGTGGTCAGTGGTAAGACAGTTTTGTGATAATTTTCACCATTCTTAAGTTGAGGACACAATGACTGATTTTTTTTTTTTTTATTATTATTAACACACTGGCCGATTCCCACCAAGGCAGGGTGGCCCGAAAAAGAAAAACTTTCACCATCATTCACTCCATCACTGTCTTGCCAGAAGGGTGCTTTTCACTATGATCCAATATTCCATATCTTGTTTGCTGGAGAAGTGAGTATAATAGAGGATAGAATGTGAATGTTTGTATCCCTCTTATGTGAAGGAGGGGAGAGTATAATAGGGGATAGAATGTGAATGTTTGTATCCCTCTTATGTGAAGGAGGGAGAGTATAATAGGGGATACAATGTGAATGTTTGTATCCCTCTTATGTGAAGGAGGGGAGAGTATAATAGGGGATACAATGTGAATGTTTGTATCCCTCTTATGTGAAGGAGGGGAGAGTATAATAGGGGATACAATGTGAATGTTTGTATCCCTCTTATGTGAAGGAGGGGAGAGTATAATAGGGGATACAATGTGAATGTTTGTATCCCTCTTATGTGAAGGAGGGGAGAGTATAATAGGGGATACAATGTGAATGTTTGTATCCCTCTTATGTGAAGGAGGGGAGAGTATAATAGGGAATAGAATGTGAATAATTGCATGGAAATGCAGGAAACATTTACTGTTTATTACAATAACATTGACCTAACCGATGTTCATCATTCAGTGAACAGAGTCAGCGACCAGCTCCGCCCACACCCCAGAGAGCTCCCATCAACAAACAAATCGAAACCCGTACGGCCGATGGCAAGCGAAGAATAACACCAATGTTCATCCCTCCCACTGAAGGGTCAGTTTTGATTATTATTATTTTAACAGTATTTTTATTATTCTTCATGATAAATAACAGACTCAGAGGGGGTTTTATTGTTATATTTTACGCTGGGAATGAGGTTCCTCTCCTGAGTCTGGTTTTGTTTCGTGAATTGTTCCAGCCACAGTATTGTGGCTTTTTATTCTTAATGGAGGGTTGGAGGTGGGAGTACAGTGCCTGTACTCTGAAGGAGGGTCAGTAGTGGGTAGTACAGTGCCTGTACTCTGAAGGAGGGTCAGTAGTGGGTAGTACGGTGCCTGTACTCTGAAGGAGGGTCAGTAGTGGGTAGTACGGTGCCTGTACTCTGAAGGAGGGTCAGTAGTGGGTAGTACGGTGCCTGTACTCTGAAGGAGGGTCAGTAGTGGGTAGTACGGTGCCTGTACTCTGAAGGAGGGTCAGTAGTGGGTAGTACGGTGCCTGTACTCTGAAGGAGGGTCAGTAGTGGGTAGTACGGTGCCTGTACTCTGAAGGAGGGTCAGTAGTGGGAAGTACAGTGCCTGTACTCTGAAGGAGGGTCAGTAGTGGGAAGTAGAGTGCCTGTACTCTGAAGGAGGGTCAACAGTGGGAAGTACAGTGCCTGTACTTTGAAGGAGTGATGGAGGTGGGAGTACAGTGCCTGTACTCTGTGGTTTAGTGGATCAACTGCCTTGCAGTGTCTACACACTCCTGACAAGACAGCAGTTGGATGACTGGGGTAAATGTGTTTACATCTCTGGGTTACATTTCCATGGCGAGAAATACCAATGGTAATAATGATCTTGCATTCTTTTACGTACAGCACCATGTACTTGCCAATTAAAAACGTATATATATATCACTGTAAACTTGTTTACAGTGATATATATATCACTGTAAATTTGTTTACAGTGTGGAGAATCCCAACAAATCATACGAGGCTAGCTTCTCCTCTAGTCACCAGGAGAAGAGTAAGATTGTGGTTGAAAAGGTTGACGGAGTGGTTGAACCCAATGTATCAGTCTCTCGGCCTCCGACCGTCTTCAGTGCCAACTCCAGCAGCTCGCCCGGCAAGGCTGTCTGTCTTCCTGCTGAGTTCAATGGTGTGCCTGCTGGCCTACCTGCTAGGTTTAGCAAGTAAGTTTATGTAGTTTGTCATGTTACTTGATCATATCAAAGTATACTGTATATGTGGTATACTGAGTGATGTGTAAGAGAGGTGTGTGTGTGTGTGTGTCTGTCTCATTTTCAGTGTAAGTGCACTGAGATGTGTGTGTCTCAGTGTAAGTGCACTGAGATGTGTGTGTCTCAGTGTAAGTGCACTGAGATGTGTGTGTCTCAGTGTAAGTGCACTGAGATGTGTGTGTCTCAGTGTAAGTGCACTGAGATGTGTGTGTCTCAGTGTAAGTACACTGAGATGTGTGTGTCTCAGTGTAAGTACACTGAGATGTGTGTGTCTCAGTGTAAGTACACTGAGATGTGTGTGTCTCAGTGTAAGTACACTGATAAAAGTAAAATCGGGCCTTGACTTTAGAATGAGTTACAGTCACGGTGCTTTGGTTCACAAATTTATAAACTATTATCCTCAAAGACAGGATAGTAAGAATGATGGTTATGTGTCTCACATGTTTGTAACTACAGTTTAACACAAGTAAAATGCTTTTTTTCTCAGTATTAACCCTTAAGCTGTCCAAACATAGATCTACGTTGAAAATAAATGGTATAAAATACCGACACAATGGAAACATCAGATGCAGCATTCTCCACCTGACCTCAACATTCTGAACCTGACTATAAATACTCCCGTACCTTCCACCCCAGGTAGATCTGTTTGTGACTTGAAAAAGCCCACTGTGTGGGCGAAACGTTGTCAAAAAAGGATCACATTAAACTGCATATGTGTTTATGTTTCCATAGATCTACGTTCACTCATGTAGCGCTCCAAATGTAGATCTGCATGCAATTTTACATGCTTTCTTATGTAAAAAAAAAAGCAGATCTACGTTCGGAGCGCTACGCGAGCGAATGTAGATCTACGTTTGGACAATTTAAGAATTAACCCTTAAATGGTCCAAACGTATATATACGTTTTTTCAACATCTGAAAGTATGTAAAAAAATGTAAATCTTTTTTTGTTTTACATTTGAAAACCTGTGAAAAAAAAACTTTTATCTACATTTTTTTTTTTGTTATATTTGAAAATATATAAAAAAAAGTAGATCTACTTTTGTAGCTACGAATTTGAATGTCGATCTGTTTGGACCGTTTAAGGGTTAAGTATATTGAACCTCGTTTGTAAGTGGGAAGTTTATAAGTGGAGTTGCTACTGTACTGTTTACAGTGGACCCCCGGTTAACAAACTTTTCACTCCAGAAGTATGTTCAGGTGCCAGTACTGACCGAATTTGTTCCCATAAGGAATATTGTGAAGTAGATTACTCCATTTCAGACCCCCAAACATACACGTACAAACGCACTTACATAAATACACTTACATAATTGGTTGCATTTGGAGGTGATCGTTATGCGGGAGTCCACTGTATTTTGACATGTAACTGAGACACTCTTCAGCCATTACTTTTTCATTTACTTACCTTCTTAAGAATAATGTTCACTTTGAGATCAAATTCAGTTCTTATTCTCAAAATTCCTGAGTTGCCCATCATCTTAGCCAATCACATTCTCAAATTTCCTGATTTTCCCACCATCTTAGCCAGTCAAATTCTCAATTTTTTTTATTTCCTCACAATCTTAGCCAATCAGAAGCATGGTTAGTTCATTCCCTTGCAGAATGAACTGATCAATCCTACTGTGGTGGAGGGCACCAGAGGCATGTCTGACAGTCTCTTGTTTTTCTACATACAATAACATTTCACTAATTTTTACATAAAAAAATTAAAATTAGATTAAAATCCATAAGATTAGAGCGACAAAGGCAGTATAGGCCTAATGTAATGTTGGCAGAGTGGTGAAGGCAGTATAGGCCTAATGTAATGTTGGCAGAGTGGTGAAGGCAGTATAGGCCTAATGTAATGTTGGCAGAGTGGTGAAGGCAGTATAGGCCTAATGTAATGTTGGCAGAGTGGTGAAGGCAGTATAGGCCTAATGTAATGTTGGCAGAGTGGTGAAGGCAGTATAGGCCTAATGTAATGTTGGCAGAGTGGTGAAGGCAGTATAGGCCTAATGTAATGTTGGCAGAGTGGTGAAGGCAGTATAGGCCTAATGTAATGTTGGCAGAGTGGTGAAGGCAGTATAGGCCTAATGTAATGTTGGCAGAGTGGTGAAGGCAGTATAGGCCTAATGTAATGTTGGCAGAGTGGTGAAGGCAGTATAGGCCTAATGTAATGTTGGCAGAGTGGTGAAGGCAGTATAGGCCTAATGTAATGTTGGCAGAGTGGTGAAGGCAGATAGGCCTAATGTAATGTTGGCAGAGTGGTGAAGGCAGTATAGGCCTAATGTAATGTTGGCAGAGTGGTGAAGGCAGTATAGGCCTAATGTAATGTTGGCAGAGTGGTGAAGGCAGTATAGGCCATAATGTAATGTTGGCAGAGTGGTGAAGGCAGTATAGGCCTAATGTAATGTTGGCAGAGTGGTGAAGGTAGTATAGGCCTAATGTAATGTTGGCAGAGTGGTGAAGGCAGTAATAGGCCTAATGTAATGTTGGCAGAGTGGTGAAGGCAGTATAGGCCTAATGTAATGTTGGCAGAGTGGTGAAGGCAGTATAGGCCTAATGTAATGTTGGCAGAGTGGTGAAGGCAGTATAGGCCTAATGTAATGTTGGCAGATGGTGAAGGCAGTATAGGCCTAATGTAATGTTGGCAGAGTGGTGAAGGCAGTATAGGCCTAATGTAAATGTTGGCAGAGTGGTGAAGGCAGTATAGGCCTAATGTAATGTTGGCAGAGTGGTGAAGGCAGTATAGGCCTAATGTAATGTTGGCAGAGTGTGAAGGCAGTATAGGCCTAATGTAAATGTTGGCAGAGTGGTGAAGGCAGTATAGGCCTAATGTAATGTTGGCAGAGTGGTGAAGGCAGTATAGGCCTAATGTAATGTTGGCAGAGTGTGAAGGCAGTATAGGCCTAATGTAATGTTGGCAGAGTGGTGAAGGCAGTATAGGCCTAATGTAATGTTGGCAGAGTGGTGAAGGCAGTATAGGCCTAATGTAATGTTGGCAGAGTGGTGAAGGCAGTATAGGCCTAATGTAATGTTGGCAGAGTGGTGAAGGCAGTATAGGCCTAATGTAATGTTGGCAGAGTGGTGAAGGCAGTATAGGCTGTAATGTAATGTTGGCAGAGTGGTGAAGGCAGTATAGGCCTAATGTAATGTTGGCAGAGTGGTGAAGGCAGTATAGGCCTAATGTAATGTTGGCAGAGTGGTGAAGGCAGTATAGGCCATAATGTAATGTTGGCAGAGTGGTGAAGGCAGTATAGGCCTAATGTAATGTTGGCAGAGTGGTGAAGGCAGTATATAGGCCTAATGTAATGTTGGCAGAGTGGTGAAGGCAGTATAGGCCATAATGTAATGTTGGCAGAGTGGTGAAGGCAGTATAGGCTGTAACATAATGTTGGCAGAGTGGTGAAGGCAGTATAGGCTGTAACATAATGTTGGCAGAGTGGTGAAGGCAGTATAGGCTGTAACATAATGTTGGCAGAGTGGTGAAGGCAGTATAGGCTGTAATGTAATGTTGGCAGAGTGGTGAAGGCAGTATAGGCTGTAACATAATGTTGGCAGAGTGGTGAAGGCAGTATAGGCCATAATGTAATGTTGGCAGAGTGGTGAAGGCAGTATAGGCTGTAACATAATGTTGGCAGAGTGGTGAAGGCAGTATAGGCTGTAATGTAATGTTGGGCAGAGTGGTGAAGGCAGTATAGGCTGTAACATAATGTTGGCAGAGTGGTGAAGGCAGTATAGGCCATAATGTAATGTTGGCAGAGTGGTGAAGGCAGTATAGGCTGTAATGTAATGTTGGCAGAGTGGTGAAGGCAGTATAGGCTGTAACATAATGTTGGCAGAGTGGTGAAGGCAGTATAGGCTGTAATGTAATGTTGGCAGAGTGGTGAAGGCAGTATAGGCTGTAATGTAATGTTGGCAGAGTGGTGAAGGCAGTATAGGCTGTAACATAATGTTGGCAGAGTGGTGAAGGCAGTATAGGCTGTAACGTAATGTTGGCAGAGTGGTGAAGGCAGTATAGGCTGTAATGTAATGTTGGCAAAGTGGTGAAGGCGGTATAGGCTGTAATGTAATGTTGGCAGAGTGGTGAAGGCAGTATAGGCTGTAACGTAATGTTGGCAGAGTGGTGAAGGCAGTATAGGCTGTAACGTAATGTTGGCAGAGTGGTCAAGGTAGTATAGGCTGTAATGTAAGCACTGAACTTATAAAGCAGGATAGGGGCTTGAGCATCCAGCAGGTACATCAAAGTTAGTGGAAACAAGTGGTGTTTGGGATTTGGAGTGCTGTTGGAGTCTGATCATGGTAACATTTTGAAAGGGATTCTGCAAAACAGCAATTCAGGATGATTTTTATTGAAGATTTCTTATAGACTTGAGTTGTGGAACATTACCATGCATAACCTTAATTAAAAAAAAATTATGGCTTAGAAATATTGTATAAGTGATTTACGAAATTTCAAAATTAATTACTCTAGTAACTTTATTGCTAAAAAATATTTATACGAAGAAAATATATTAACCCTTTGACTGTCGCAGCCCCAAATCCTGAGGTGTCTCTTGGTGTTGCAAAATATTTGAAAAAAAAAAATTCTTATGAAATGATAGAGAATCTTTTCCCGATGGTAATGACACCAAAAGTATGAAATTTGGTGGAAAACTTACGGAATTACACTCTCGCGAAGTTAGCAACCTCGGCGACATTTACACATCGGCGATTTCGTCCACTTTGAGCCCTATTTTCGGTCAATTCCATTGTTTCAGTCCACCAAACTCATAGCTATTTCTTTAGAACTTCATTTGTTCTATCGATTGAGTACAAGAAACTGCCCATTTACCAATTTCAACTACCTAATAATGTGGTCAGAAATTGGCAATTTAGCCAATTTCACGAAAACTAAAAAATATGACAATTTCAAAATAAGGTCCAGAATGAACAATGCAGACATTCCTGGCTCTAAAATAACATTTTCTTTGTTCATCAGTCATGTCTCCAGGCCCCTCTGATATTACTCTTGCTTTCTATTTTGAATTTTTATTCAAACAAAAAATAGAAGACTTACTATTATGCAGACTACTGCAATACTGTAATAATTGTATAAATAACATCAACCCATTCATGACTGCATATTAGAATGGCTAGTTGGACATTTATTAGACAGTGACGTCATTTGTTTACCCTTGAGCATCGACAAAAATCGAATATTTCTGCCACTTTGAGCTCCATTTCAAGATCCTTTTCATAGTAAAACCAATCAAAATCATTTCATAAGTGTATTTTTGAGGGTCTGAAATGGACTAATCTAATTTACATTATTCCTGATGGGAATAAATTCATTCGGTAAAGGCACTCGAACAGCCTTCTGGACCGAAGAAAGTTCGATATTTGAGGTTCCACTGTATATACGTCAAACACATTGGCTCGTAAGACATATGTACAACCAGAACAGTCAAAGGGTTAAGTATATATAGATATTTTTTATTTTCAACATGGTGGCTGTCTCCCACCGAGGTCGGTGATCCCATAAAGAAGAAACTAAAGTCTTTTTCTTTTTACAGTCAATAATTTATACTGGTTAGCCAGACTTGAGTCCTGGAGGTGGGATGTACAATATCTGCACTTTAAAGGAGGGGGTTCGGGATATTGGCAGTTTGGAGGACTTCTAAACTGTCATATGTGAATGTCTCTGCAGACAGTGATATTGTGTGAATGATGGTGAAGTTTAACGATAATGAAAGTTTTTATTTCTTCTTGGGTTTTTCTTTCTTTTGGGTCACCCGGCCTGGGTGGGAAACAGCCAATGTGTTAAAAAGAAAATTATACTGGAGAAAGTGTTACTAGTACCTTGCTGCCGGCATTTTAGTCGCCTCTTACAACACGCATGACTTACACAGGAAGATTCTGTTCAACTTCCTCATGGAGGATTAGGTATACAGTGGTACCTTGAGCTACAAACAGCTCCCACCTTGAACAGTTGTGTAAGTGTAGTTTTTAAGTCCTTTTGTCAGTGCATTTTTGTAAGTGCTTTTGTCAGTGTATTTTTGTAAGTGCTTTTGTAAGTGTATTTTTGGGGATCTGAAATGGATTAATCTAATTTTCATTATTTCTTATGGGAACAGATTAGTTCGGTATCGGCACTCAAACAGCCATCTGGAACTAATTAAGTTCATAACTCAGGGTACCACTGTATATACAGTGGACCCCCGCTTAACGATCACCTCCAAATGCGACCAATTATGTAAGTGTATTTATGTAAGTGCGTTTGTACGTGTATGTTTGGGGGTCTGAAATGGACTAATCTACTTCACAATATTCCTTATGGGAAAAAATTCAGTCAGTACTGGCACCTGAACATACTACTGGAATGAAAAAAGTTCGTTAACCGGGGGTCCACTGTATATTTGGCTTAACAATTGCTGGATGTGTTGACCACAGCAAAAACAACATAATGTAAAAATTCCTTCACCAGAATTAATGTTATAAGTGTATTATCAAGTGATTGTCTTAGTTCTCCGAGCTGTCATCTTCACAGAATGTTTTAAATATTTTTACAATGAACCTTCACAGCAAAAGACAAAAAATTATATGTATATAACAATGCGATATGTTAATGGTTGTTTTTTGTTCTAGATCATGTGGTGTTAACTCAGAGAAAGCAACAGTAGCAGCAGCAGATGTTCAGGTCACCTCCACAGCAGTCAAGCGCAAGCAGGAGGATGCACAGCCCATTGTCATTAAACGAAAGCGAGGTCGTCCGCCACTGTACGACAGGTCTTCAACTCCTGCTGCTCCCACCCGTGCTCCCTCTCCTGCAGCAGCTCCCACACCTGCTCTACCACGACCACCAACTGCCACACAGCATCATGTTGAGCCTCCGCACCTTGTACTGCCAGAAGCTTCTCTCTCAAAATCAGCGAGAGTTCAGGTAAGTAGGTTTTTTACAAATAACATGCACATAGCAGAGCTTTTCTTTTGTAACACTGGCCGTCTCCTGCCACGGCAGGGTGACCCAAAAAAGAAATGCTTTCACCATCATTCACACTATCACTGTCTTGCCAGATGAGTGAAGATATAATAGTTTAGATGTCACTCCAAACAACAAATATCCTAAACCCTTATTTAACAGTACAGGCACTGTAGTTGCCACCTCCAGGACTCCTTTATAGTGCAGGCACTGTACATTACCACCTCCAGGACTCCTATATAGTGCAGGCACTCTATTTGCCACCTCAAGGACTCCTATATAGTGCAGGCACTGTACTGGTCACCTTATAGTGGATTATTTGTGTATTGTTCCAGTCACGGTATTGTGCTTTGTTATTCTTTAACCCTTTGACTGTTTTGGTCTTATATATACGTCTTACGAGCCACAGTGTTTGACGTATATACATGTATGCTCAAACATTCTAGCGGCTTCAAATCAAGCAGGAGAAAGCTGGTAGGCCCACATGTGAGAGAATTGGTCTGTGTGGTCAGTGTGCACCATATAAAAAAAATCCTGCAGCACGCAGTGCATAATGAGAAAAAAAAGCTCCGACCGTTTTTTTTAATTAAAATGCTGACTTTGTGGTGTATTTTCATGTAGTATTTATGGTTATATTCTTGTTTTCTTGGTCTCATTTGATATAATAGAAAACATATTATAGAAATAGGGTAATTTTGATTGGTTTTACTATGAAAAGAACCTGGAAATGGAGCTCAAAGTAGGGGAAATGTTTGATTTTTGCCGACGTTCAAAAGTAAACAAATGATGTCTTTGTCCAATAAATGTCCAACTAGCCATTCTAATATGTAGTCATGAATGGGTTGATGTTATTTATACAATTATTACAGTATTGCAGTAGTCTGCATAATAGTAAGTCTTCTATTTTTTGTTTGAATAAAAATTCAAAATAGAAAGCAAGAGTAATATCAGAGGGGCCTGTAGACGTGACTGATGAACAAAGAAAATGTTATTTTAGAGCCAGGAATGTCTGTGTTGTTCATTCTGGACACTATTTTGAAATTGTAATTTTTTTAATTTGCATGAAATTGGCTAAATTGCCAATTTCTGACCACATTATTGGGTAGTTGAAATCAGTGAATGGGCAGTTTCTTGTACTCAGTCAATAGAACAAATGGAGTTCTAAAGAAATAGCTATGAGTTTGGTCGACTGGAACAACGGAATTAGCCGAAAATAGGGCTCAAAGTGGGCAAAATCGCCGATTTGTAAATATCACAGAGGTCGCTAACTTCGCGAGAGCGTAATTCCGTAAGTGTTCCATCAAATTTCATTCTTTTGGTGTCATTGCAATCGGGAAAAGATTCTCTATCATGTCATAAGATTTTTTTTTTTTTTTTTTTTTTTTTTTTTTTTTTTTTTTTTTTTAACACCAGGAGACACCTCAGGATTTGGGGTTTCGACAGTCAAGAGTTAAATAAGGTTTTCTGTGCACAATTCTCCATTTGTCTAATTTTGTCCTTACTGAAAAAAGTTTATAGCTTTCCAGGGAATAATATTGCTATCTTAAAATGTGTGTAGGTATAGAGGAGCTACGAAGACTATAGATTATATCTTTACAAAATAATTAGCAGTGTCTATATACCATGAATATCTTAAGACATCACTTTGTGATGTCAGTCTGCATCTGGCAAGACAGAGACTGAATGAATGATGGTGAGTGTGTTTCCTCTGTTTTGGGTCAGCCTTCCATGGTGGGAGACAGCCAGTGTGTTAAAAACATTACTTTGTGTCATTCTTTTTTAATTAAAATAGCTGTTGTAGGTGATAAAATACAGTGGTACCTTGGCATACGAACACCTCCCAACTCGAACAATTATGCAAGTATATTTTTGGGGGTCTGAAACGTATTAATCTAATTTGCATTATTCCTTATGGGAACAGGCTCATTTGGTATCGGCACTCAAACAGTCTTCTGGATTGAATTAAGTTTATAACCCGAGGTACCACTGTATAGCCCTTGTTTACAAGGGTTCTGACATTGGAAGGGTTAACGAGGACTGAATTATAAAGTCAAATATTTTTGGAGTTTGTTCAACTTTAAATTGGAAGTAAAGACAGAAATTGTTTGATGTAGATGACATTTAGGATGTTCTTACTTGTTACTTTAGACTATATTCTTACTTAGCTTGATACAAGGACACTTATGAATGGTGCATTATTTTGTATATCTATCTCAAATGTTTATGTCAAATGTTTTAGATTCCAGGGGAAGTGTCTCACGATGTTCCTCCGCCACTACTGGTGGTAGAGAACGACTACCGCATTGGCAGCCGTGCGGGTGTTGGCACTCCTAACCTGCACCGGGTGAGCCGAACGCAGCTCAACGTAGTGAGCTGGGTGGTGTACCTCACTTCCCATGTGACCACAGCCACCGCTACATCCACCACCGCTGCATTCACCTGCCACGACAAGACACTACATATACTGGATATTACGACAGGTATTACCAAGACTTCATGGAGAGAAACCAACATTTTGTACCATGCTGCTGTGTTCAATGTATGGGAGATGTGTGAGAGGCAGTAAGATAGACTCCAAAAAGTGAGAAGCTATAGATAAAGTTTCTGGTACTGTTTGTCATAGATACCATCTTCCCTGACCCTTGTTGGGTTGCATAGTACCTTATCAAACCCTTGTCTCACTCGCAAAGTAGCATTTTATTTTTTATAATCATAATTAGGATTGTATTCATCTTTCATATAGCTACCATAATTCTTTTAATGTCTTGGCCATCTTCCATCAGAGTACCGCAAGTCAAAAATTATAATCACACAGTGAATCATTCAGTTTTTGTACATCTCTTACCAAAGATGTACAAAAACTACCATCTTCATCCTTCACATAGTAACAGCCTCACCCATCCTTCACATAGTAACAGCCTCACCCATCCTTCACATAGTAACAGCCTCACCCATCCTTCACATAGTAACTGCCCACCCATCCTTCACATAGCAACAGCCCACCCATCCTTCACATAGTAACAGCCCCACCCATCCTTCACATAGTAACTGCCCACCCATCCTTCACATAGCAACAGCCTCACCCATCCTTCACATAGTAACAGCCCCACCCATCCTTCACATAGTAACAGCCCACCCATCCTTCACATAGTAACAGCCTCACCCATCCTTCACATAGTAACAGCCCCACCCATCCTTCACATAGTAACTGCCCACCCATCCTTCACATAGCAACAGCCTCACCCATCCTTCACATAGTAACAGCCTCACCCATCCTTCAGATGGTAACATCCTCACCCATCCTTCAGATGGTAACATCCTCACCCATCCTTCACATAGTAACAGCCCAGCCATCCTTCACATAGCAACAGCCTCACCCATCCTTCACATAGTAACAGCCCCACCCATCCTTCACATAGTAACTGCCCACCCATCCTTCACATAGCAACAGCCTCACCCATCCTTCACATAGTAACAGCCTCACCCATCCTTCAGATGGTAACATCCTCACCCATCCTTCAGATGGTAACATCCTCACCCATCCTTCAGGACACACATGCACTATTTTTTCCCCAAGTCTTAGATTATGTAATACCTTTGAAGAATTTCGAGAGTATATCTACTCTCTGAGCCTGGCCATGGGCCTGGCTCATCTGGTGCTCGCCTGGTCAACCAGGCTGTTGCTGCTGGAGGCCCGCTGCCCCACATATCCATCACAGCCTGGTTGACCTGGTGAAGATACTTGTCTAGTTTCCTCTTGAAGGCTTCAACACTTGTTCCAGCAGTGTTTCTGATATCTTCTGGTAAGATGTTGAAAAGTCTGGGACCCCGGATGTTGATACAGTGTTCCCTTATTGTCCCCACCGCATCCCTGCTCCTCACTGGGTTTATTTTACACTTCCTCCCATATCTCTCACTCCAGTATGTTGTTATGGCAGTGTGCAGATTTGAGACCAAGCCCTCGAGTACCTTCCAGGTATATATTATCGTGTACCTCTCTCTCATCTGCTCCAATGAGTACATGTTCAAGACTTGCAGGAGTTCCCAGTAGTTTAGGTGCTTTACTGGCTCAGTGTGAGCCATTTTCTGTGAAATGCACTAAGTAATGGGGTTCAAGTCTAGGGGGACTTACTGACCAGTCATCAAAGGAAGATACCTCACCATCATGAAGTCATAAAAAATAATTACAACACATTGTGTGAAAGATTTGGAAAACTGATTACACAGCAGTTCTAGGTAGGTTACTGCAGTGAACATTAGCTGACTTGTACACACATTGAGATACTTGGTATATAAGAGATGCACTCCATGTACACAGTGCTTGTCATTACAGTACATTTGGTGGAAGACTTCAACATCCAGTGTCCAAAGTATCACCTTACCCTGGTAGGACTTTGGGAAGAGAAAAAGTTATGGTGTCCTGGCAACTTGTTGGTCAGTCTTAGGATTCTCAAAGTGTCTGCATCCTAAGTGTCTTCCAGGCTTGTATGGTGGACAGTTTTGTATGGATGGTGTCCCTGTTCCATGCAGTCTTGAGGGCCAAGTCTGTCAGATATTTTTGGCTGTCTGTGAATTAATATGGCAAGACTGTCACTGACATGACAGTTGTTCAGACCATTGGATTACATATGACAGGACATCAATTGAAGGTAATAATAGAAGCTGTTGATGAGGACCTGGCTGTGTTGGTTCCTTGAGAATAATGTTGATAAAAAAAAACCATACCATGGGGGGAGTTAGAACCCACGATCAGAGAGTCATAAAACTCCAGACCAACGTGCTAGCCACTAGCCAGTGGCTAACGCGTCGGTCTGGAGTTTTATGACTGATCGCAGGTTCTAACCCCACCTATGGTATGGTTTGTTAGCAATTGTGTCATTACGATTTCGTGAGTAATAATATTGATGACCTGCCCACACACAGAGCCCGTCAAGGAAAGCCTAGAAAAATAACGCCACTGATGTTAACTGCAGTAACCTAACTAGAATTGCTGTGTAATCAGTTTCCTAAATTGTTCACATAATGTGGTGTAATTATTTTTATGACTTCATGACTGAGGTATCTTCCTTTGATGACTGCTCATTAAGTCCCCCTAGACTTGAACCCCACTGAGAACCTGTTGCTGAGAATTATATGTCTGCTAGAGAAAGGATATCAGCCCACTCACAGCTGTAGGATGTCATCCATGAGTTGTAGGGAAGTTTACCCCACTAAACCTTGAAGAGTGTGTTAATCACTTCCTAGATAGGTGTCCTAGAGCACAAGGGACAACCATGGTTTAAGTCAGGGCTGGTATACAGGTGCTTCTTGACTTACCACAGAGTTACATTCCAACGAACCCGTTGTATGTCAAAAATATCACAAGTCAAATATGAATATATGATAAATAATTAAGTAATTACTGTAAATAACAGTATTGAAAAGTAGATAAATGAATTCAAGTTAGGAACTTGCCGCCGCCTTCTTCTTTCAACAAACTGGCCGTATCCCACCGAAACAGGGTGGCCCAAAAAGAAAAACAAAAGTTTCTCTTTTTATTTTTAGTAAGATATACAAGAGAAGGGGTTACTAGCCACTTGCTCCTGGCATTTTAGTCGTCTCTTACGACATGCATGGCTTACGGAGGAAGAATTCTGTTCCACTTCCCCAGGGAGAACTTGCCGCCTTCGTGCTGGGTAATTATCTCAGTTTTCATCTCCAAAGTAATTACCTTTGTACCATTGTAAAGCTGAAATGTTACAAGTGGAACCAGTAAGCTGAGCAGATATACTTCAACGATCAGTGTTGTACATTGAGAGATAATACCATTGTAAAGTAAGTACATGAAGAAACCACTTGGTATACATACTGTACAGTACATTGAGAGATAAAACCACTTGGTATACATACTGTACAGTACATTGAGAGATAAAACCACTTGGTATACATACTGTACAGTACATTGAGAGATAAAACCACTTGGTATACATACTGTACAGTACATTGAGAGATACACCACTTTGTATGCATACTCTGAGTTACTTGTTTCTCAATATTTATATTTTTGTGTATGTATACTGTAAGTGATTATTGCATTTCTTTTCTGTAAATCTGTAGTGGAGGGCAGGCGGGGTAGAGGTTGGAGGGAGGGGGTAAAGGAGGTTTTGTGTGGGAGAAGGGAGGGGGTAAAGGAGGTTTTGTGTGCGAGGGGCTTGGACTTCCAGCAAGCATGCGTGAGTGTTTTAGATAAGAGCGAATGGAGACAAATGATTTTTAGGACTTGATATGCTGTTGGAGTGTGAACAAGATAGCATTTATGAAGGGATTCAGGGAAACAGGTTAGCAGGACTTGAGTCTTGGAGATGGGAAGTACAGTGTCTGCACTCTGAAGGAGGGGTGTTAATGTTGCAGTTTTATAACTGTAGTGTAAGTGCACCTCTGGCAAGACAGTGATGGAGTGAATGATGAAAGTTTTTCTTTTTTGGGCCACCCTGCCTTGGTGGGAAACGGCCGATGTGTTAATAAAAAAATAATAATACTTTGACACTGTTAATTACAGGCGAGATGCTGTTACCTCCACTTCAGCTTCAGGGTCGAGCCTCCCAGTTGTTTGTCCAGGAGAGTACCATTATGGTCTTAACTACTGATGCTACACTAACAATTTGGGATTTTAAAAAAAGGAAGAGAATCCTATCTGAGTCTGTGAGACATTTAGGTAAGATTTATTGTTAAACTTTTCTTTAGCTGCAACTATGAAATGGCTTTAACCCTTAAACTGTCCAAACATAAAGTTACGTTTAAATGCGTAGCGCTCCAGTCATATAGTTGCCTAGACATGAGAGAATGAGTCTGTGCGCAGTACGACAAAATTCGGGGATACTGTAAAAAATGTGCTCTTCATTTTAAACAAAAAAAAACAATTGTTTTTTTGTTTTATTCAAAAATATTCAGAGTGGTACACACATGAAAGTTGATCTACGTTTGGACAGGTTAAGGGCTAATAGTGGGGTGTTTATTGTAAGAAAGTAGCAGGATAGTAAAGTAGAGTGCCTGCACTCTGAATGAGAGGTTTGAGATATTTACTGTTTAGAGTGAGATCTAAACTTTCATATCTGTGTGCTCTGGCAGGACACTGATAGTGTGAATGATGGAAAAAGTGTTTCTTTTTTTGAGGCCTGCTCTCAGACCTGGCCGCAGGGGCGTTGACCCCCGAAACCCTCTCCAGGTATACTCCAGGTATACCCTGCCTCAGTGGGAGGCGACCAACGTGTTGACAAGACAAAAGTGCATATTATTGCCGATGTGTCAGTGTGTGCTTCAAGCAGCACTAAGCATCAACACCTCGAAAAGATTTACCATATTTCGCAGCTTGTAAGTGAGGCTTATAAGACTTATTTTAATCTCAATGGCTTGCCACCGGACGTAACTGGGAGAGCTACAGCCCACCACACACCCTAAACTTATAGCTCCCATCACTGACCTTCAGTTTATAGGATGCAGGCTGGTTTTTGGAGACATTTTATGGAATAAAAATTGTCTAATAAGTCGCAAGATACAGCACATAGGAGATACTCACGAAGATACTCACAAAGTCTCCTGAAAAAGCACTGTTAGAGATTTTGTTAACATGGTGGCCGCATCTCACCTTGGCAGGTGACCTGATAATAAAGAAATGAAAGTTTTTCTTTATTTCACATTTAGTATACAGAAGAAGGGGTTACTAGCACCTTACTCCTGGCATTTTAGTTGCCTCTTGCAACACACAACTTACACAGGAAGGATTCTAACCCACTTCCCCATGGGGTTATACTTTTTTTTTTTTAATGTATTGGCTGTTTCCCACTGAGGCAGAGTGACCCAAAAAGGAAGAAACACTTTCATCATCACTCACTCCATCACTATATTATTATTATTATTATTATTATTATTATTATTATTTATTATTATTATTATTATTATTACTGTAGTGTTATTATTATTATTACTGTATTATTATTATTATTATTATTATTATTATTATTATTATTATTCTTCTTTCTTTCTTTCAACACACCGGCCGTATCCCACCGAGGCGGGGTGGCCCAAAAGGAAAAACGAAAGTTTTCTCCTTTTACATTTTGTAATATATACAGGAGAAGAGGTTACTAGCCCCTTGCTCCCGGCATTTTAGTTGCCTCTTACAACACGCATGGCTTACGGAGGAAGAATTCTGTTCCACTTCCCCATGGAGATAAGAGGAAATAAACAAGAATAAGAACTAGAAAGAAAATAGAAGAAAACCCAGAGGGGTGTGTATATATGTTTCTTGTACATGTATGTGTAGTGTGACCTAAGTGTAAGTAGAAGTAGCAAGACGTACCTGAAATCTTGCATGTTCATGAGACAGAAAAAAGGACACCACAATCCTACCATCATGTAAAACAATTACAGGCTTTCGTTTTACACTCACTTGGCAGGACGGTAGTACCTCCCTGGGCGGTTGCTGTCTACCAACCTACTACCTATAATTATTATTATTATTATTATTATTATTATTATTATTATGTGAATGCCCTGGGCATTGAAACATTAAAATCTGCGGTAAAATTGAGTTTTCTTGTTTGACAGTTGAAGGTCGTAACGGAGGAGTGAAGTGCGTGCAGCTGACTGCAGAAGGCACTCCAGTTTTGTTACTGACCTCTGGAGAAGCATTCACCAGATGTCAGGAGCTGGAGGCCTGGTTGTTGCTCGGTGATGTTGCCAGTGTTCGTTGTTTAGTACAACCAGAGTACACAATGTTACCACTCTGTCATCCCACTGACAACTGCTCTAGGCCTCTGGCCAGCCTACTCCACCAGACTGCTGCATAGTACGTACATCACTCTCAACATTTATTTTTTATAAACACAGCGGTCATTTCCCACCAAGGCACAGCAACCCAAAAAAGAATTAACAGTGTCATCATCATTTACTCCACCACTGTCTTGCCAGAGATGTGCCGACACTACAGTTATAAAACTGTTACTCCACCACTGTCTTGCCAGAGATGTGCCGACACTACAGTTATAAAACTGCAACATATCTGTGGAAAATATATAGTATATTTTCCCAAAATAGTGTATTTGTATGTAAATTAATAAAATATTTTATTTAATAAAAATTATATTATAAAAAATGGGAAGCTTGGCACCTGCACTGACGAGCAGAGAGCCGCCATTGTGTTTTTGAATGAGCCAAGAAAACGTTAGTGAAAATAAGAAGAATTTTCGTCGCTCTAGACTCTAGAGGTTATATTGGGCTTAAGACTCTCAAATAGGAGCCGAAATTGTTGGATGTGCATTTCTGCATAATTTGAGCATTAAACCGATGTACTGGACAGCTCCAGGAACCTCAGATAGGCTTTCTAAATTATGTTTGTAATTCTGGCCAGTATTATCATCATAAATTTAGTTAGAGGGAGGTTTTTGAGTATTATACACAGTAATCTCCAGACTAATTGGTGAGTGTTATGATTATAAATTCTCCTGTTTTATAAATGTGCATATGTAATCATTTATTAATTTTAATATACAGTCCACAAATTTCTATTAATTTTACCAGAATTCCTGGTGTGTATGTACATTTCATATGAAATTAATATAGGTCTAGAGCAACTTGTGGAGAGACAGTGGTAGGTATCGAAGGGGGACATTTTTGCGACCTAGGTGTCCTAAAAATTCCTACGTGTCTCTGCAACTTTGATAAATAATAATTATTTTGTTACCATTTACTTGTATGTATGTAATGAGATTCATCCAGGTAAATGTAATTTTCCATAATATCAACACCCATCCTTCAGAGAGCAGACACTGCACATTCTACCTCCAGGACTCAAGTTCAGCTAACTGGTTTCCCTGAATCCCTTAATAAATGTCACTGCATTGACACTCCAACAGCACATTGTCATAAAAATCATTCGTCTCCACTCACTCCTATCCTGCCTCAACATATCTCTCCTTATTATCTTTTTTGTTTCTTTTTATATTTATCATGTGTGAAGTGTGATGTTAGTGCACTTCTGGCAAGACAGTAACTGAGAGAATAATAATAAATGTCTTTCCTTTTTTGGGTCACCTGCCTTGGCGAGAGATGGGCATGAAGGATAAAAAAAACTATATTCTGTTTCTTATTTTCCCTTGAAAATGTGGACAGTTTGGTATAATTATTATTGTGCAATCTGATATATTAACCCTTTGACTGTTTCAGGCCCCTTTCTGAAACTGTCATTTTATGTCGCTCAATTTTTGAAAAAAAAAAAAATTATATTTTCTTATGAAATGATAGAGAATCTTTTCCCGATGGTAATGACACCAAAAGTTCGAAATTTGGTCAAAAACTCATGGAATTATGCTCCCGCGAAGTTAGCGGTCTCGGCGACATATGCGTATCGGCGATTTCGCCGACTTTGAGCCCTATTTTCAGCCAATTCCATTGTTCCAGTTGACCAAACTCAGAGCTATTTCTTTAGAACTCCATTTTATCTATCAGCTGAGTACAAGAAACCTCCCATTTACTAATTTGGACTACCCAATATGGTGGTCAGAAATTGGCAATTTGGCCAATTTCACGCAAACTAAAAAAGATGCCAATTTCAAAATAGGGTCCAGAATAAACAAGGTAGACATTCTTGGCACTAAAATAACATATGCTCTGTTCATTAGTCACATCTCTAGGCCCCTCTTATATTACTATTGCTTTCTATTTTGATTTTTTATTCATACAAAAAAATACAAAAGTTACAGTTATGCAGTTTACTGCATTATTGTAAAAATGGTATAAATAATATCAGTGCACTAGTGAAAGAATATCAGACTCCCCAGTTGACGTGTAATGGACGTGTGGTGTGATTTATTTACTCCTGAACATTGGTAAAAATCGAACATTTCTGCTACTTTGAGCTCAGTTTCAAGGTCGTTTTCATCGTCAAAGTAATGAAAATCATCTCTATTTCTGTAATATGTTTTCTAATTTATCACCTAAGACCATGAAAACGCATATACAACGATAAATACTATACGAAAATACACCTCAAAGTCGGTGTTTTATTCCAAAAAACGATCAGTTTTTTTTTCTCATTACGCAATGTGTGCTGCAGGATTTTTTTTATATGGTGCACACTGACCACACAGACCCATTCTCTCACATGTGGGCCTACCAGCTTTCTCCCGCTTGATTTGAAGCCGCTAGAATTATTGAGTATATATACGTCAGAAACATTGGCTCGTAAGACGTATTTATACGTCGAAAACAGTCAAAGGGTTAAGGGCCGGCCTTAAGCTGATTGGACCAATTGCTCCCAGTTGGGGCCCGCACCTAAAGGGACCCCACACCTAAGGGGGCCCCGCACTAGATTGTAATCTACTCTCAGCTTGTCAAGTACACACAACAACAGTAATTAAAAAAAATTAATATTTTTAATAAATCAGTATTTTTAATAAATCATTTCACAGTCACTAAAGCAAGTGGCACAGGTCGGCCATCACCAATCTGGCACCATTGGTACCTGTAGTGTGCCAGATTACAGAGTGATTAGGTTAGAATAATGATGTAGATAATGCTAATTTTTCCTGACTTCTGATTCCCTGGGGCTGAATATTTCCTTGATATGCTCCCTACTTCTTCCTCTCTCCAGAATGCAACACAGGTCGACCATCACTAATCCGGTACCAGTGGGACCTGTAGTGTGCTGGATTACAGTTAGAATACACTTAATTAACCTACCAATAGAGACTTTCTGCTACATCTTCCTCATTTTCATTACAGTTTTCTCCTCCGCTGGCTTGTTGTTGCTGTGGATTTACGACCATCTGCACAATTTCTGAGTCGGTATAATGATGAAATTTGAAATTATGCTAGCCGAAATTAGTGCCAGATTACTGATGGAACCGGATAACTGGTTGCCGGATTAGTGATGGCCGACCTGTATTGTGACTGTTTACTTTTCAGAGATGTTATACAGATTTTGTTACTTGTAAGTTTACAAGTATCCAATTTTATATTAAAATGTAACTTACAGCTGTTTGGTCTATTAACTCGCAAGTATTTTTTATGCGCACACTTTGATTGTTTTCCGTACACGGGACCCACCAAAATTGTTCCCATTTGGGCCCCTCACCTCCTAAGACCGGCTCTGTATACATTGGTATAATTATTATACAGTCTGTTACACTGGTATAATTATTATACAGTCTGTTACACTGGTATAATTATTATACAGTCTGTTACACTGGTATAATTATTATACAGTCTGTTACACTGGTATAATTATTATACAGTCTGTTACACTGGTATAATTATTATACAGTCTGTTACACTGGTATAATTATTATACAAACTGTGATTTGAATGTGAAGGAAATGTTTGCAACATTGATGTTTTTGTTGCAGCTGTGGATCATCACGAGTATCTCGACCAATAATATCGGACGACGCACGTCAGAACCTAACAGAAGTGTTCATCAATCGCATGCTGACCTCAGCTCAGTACCTCAGATCTGCTCACGATTACAAGTTCTGGTTGAAGCGGAAAATACAGTTCTTTATCAAGGAAGGTGAGAAGCGACTGGTTTTGACTCACGAAATCGTAATGACACGATTGCAAACAAAGATACTATGTGCGGAGTTTTACGACTCTGATCGCGGGTTCTATCCCCGCCCGTGGCATGTTTTTTTCAACTGGCTTTACTAGTAGCACAATTAGACGGAAATCTTTGGTCAGTGTTGTGGTCTATACTAGATTATTGTATTTCCCAACCTGATGATACTGTTGAGTGGATTGATAGGATTGGTTGAGGTTTTTATCTTGGAGGATTAGCCAATCAGGGTAACCTGGGGTAGGTAGGGTTAGCCACCCAGGATAACCTGAGGTAGGGAGGGTTAGCCACCCAGGGTAACCTCGGGTAGGAAGCATTCGCCACTCAGGATAATCCAGGGTAGGGAGTGTTAGCCACTTAGCATAACCCAGGGTAGAGAGGGTTAGCTACATAGCATAACCCAGGGTAGAGAAGGTTAGCCACATAGCATAACCAAGGGTAGAGAGGGTTAGCTACATAGCATAACCCAGGGTATGGAGGGTTGGCCACCCAGGATATCCCAGGTTAGGGAGGGTTAGCCAACCAGGGTAAGGAGGGCTAGCTACCCAGGGTAACCTGGGGTAGGGAGTGTTAGCCACTCAGGATTACCCAGGGTAGGGAGGGTTAGCCACCTAGGATAACCCAGGGTAGGAAAGGTTTACCACCCAGGATAACCCAGGGTAGGAAAGGTTAGCCACACAGGATAACCCAGGGTAGGAAAGGTTAGCCACCCAGGGTAGGAAAGGTTAGCCACCCAGGGTAGGAAAGGTTAGCCACACAAGATAACCCAGGGTAGGAAACATTAACCACACAGGATAACCCAGGGTAGGAAAGGTTTACCACCTAGGATAGCCCAGGGTAGGAAAGGTTAGCCACCCAGGATAGCCCAGGGTAGGAAAGGTTAGCCACACAGGATAACCCAAGGTAGGAAAGGTTAGCCACACAGGATAACCCAGGGTAGGAAAGGTTAGCCACACAGGATAACCCAGGGTAGGAAAGGTTAGCCACACAGGATAACCCAGGGTAGGAAAGGTTAGCCACACAGGATAACCCAGGGTAGGAAAGGTTAGCCACACAGGATAACCCAGGGTAGGAAAGGTTAGCCACACAGGATAACCCAGGGTAGGAAAGGTTAGCCACACAGGATAACCCAGGGTAGGTCAGTGTGTCATAGAGGACTGTCTCATATTTCCATTGTGGTCCTTCAGTCTTGTCCCCCAGGATGCCACCCACACCAGTCCACTAATACCCAGGTACCTACTTACTACTAGGTGGACAGTGACAGCAGGTGTAAGGTGACTAATACCCAGGTACCTACTTACTGCTATGAACAGTGGGTGGGAAGTAGACACACTGAACAGTGGGTGGGAAGTAGACACACTGAACAGTGGGTGGGAAGTAGACACACTGAACAGTGGGTGGGAAGTAGACACACTGAACAGTGGGTGGGAAGTAGACACACTGAACAGTGGGGGGGAAGTAGACACACTGGACAGTGGGTGGGAAGTAGACACACTGGACAATGGGTGGGAAGTAGACACACTGGACAATGGGTGGGAAGTAGACACACTGGACAATGGGTGGGAAGTAGACACACTGGACAATGGGTGGGAAGTAGACACACTGGACAGTGGGTGGGAAGTAGACACACTGGACAATGGGTGGGAAGTAGACACACTGGACAATGGGTGGGAAGTAGACACACTGGACAATGAGTGGGAATTAGACACACTGGACAATGGGTGGGAAGTAGACACACTGGACAATGGGTGGGAAGTAGACACACTGGACAATGGGTGGGAAGTAGACACACTGGACAATGGGTGGGAAGTAGACACACTGGACAATGGGTGGGAAGTAGTCACACTGGACAATGGGTGGGAAGTAGACACACTGGACAGTGGGTGGGAAGTAGACACACTGGACAGTGGGTGGGAAGTAGACACACTGGACAGTGGGTGGGAAGTAGACACACTGGACATGGGTGGGAATGTTGCAGTTTGGCAACACAACTGATAAATTAGACACATATACAACCTAAGTATCACACTTGTATCCAATTTATTAAATATTTGGTTGTGTGTACCATTGATCCGTAAGACGTCTACTGAACAAAAGACAATAAATGTATTTCCTTTTTGGGCAGAGGAGGTTGACCTGACCTTGGTAGAAAAGGTCACTGTGGTAAAAAGAGAAGTAACATTGTTCTTCTTTGTGTTTTAGGGCTGGAGAAGAAGTTAAGAGACATCTTTGATGACCTTCTTGGACCAAAAGATACCACTCTTACAAATAATCAAGAAGGCCTCACCTGGAAACCCAAGATAATGGTGATTAATTTCTTCTTATTTTTGGCACTTGCCTTAACTTTTCAGTGAAAAATGCATCCATAATACTGCCTTTATCATTTGTGTACACAGTGGTACCTTGGGATACGAACTTATTTCGTTCCAGATGGCTGTTCCAGTGTTGATACCGAACGAATTTGTTCCCATAAGGAATAACGTAAATTAGATTAATCCATTTCAGACCCCCAAAAATACACTTACAAAACCACTTACATAATTGTTCGCGTTTTAAGTTGTTTGTATCCCGAGGTACCACTGTATTTGCTGTCTCTGGGTTTTACATAAACAATTTTATAGGCTATGAGCTGTTGTTCTCTTTAAGTTCAATTTAAAGCCCCTGGGATACCACCCACACCAGTCAACTAATACCCAGGTACCAACTTACTGCTAAGTGAACAGTGACAGCAGGTGTAAGGTAACATGACCGGTGTTTCCACCCATAACGGGGATTGAACCCCGGACACAGTGTGTGTGAGCTGGGTACACCACCAGTGTTGTGTGTCTTGTATTCATCACGGGCAGGATGGGTATGTTACATGTGCTCATCATGGGCAGTGTGGGTATGCTGCAGCTCAATGGATTGTAATTATTTACACATACCTTACAGGACTACGACAAGAAGGCTCTCCTGGAAGAGTTCCTCCGAGAAATTCTGCTAGCCAAGAATTCCCTGCAGTTGCAGCGGCTTTATTCCGAGTACAAAGAACAGCTGGATACAACTATGATAGATTTAATCTAGTGCCGTACTGTACAGCCTCCCCTCCCTTAGCAACGTACATACTCGTTTACCGACATCTTGGACTTACGATGGGCTCTCTGACCAGTATGCAAACCTAAACAATGTATATTAGAGCTAATTTCATCTATTCTGTTTATTGCAATATACAGTACACTACTGTATAAACATTTGAAAATATACCAGATATGTTATAAATGGCACAGAGGTGACATTAAAACAACATCAAAGATGGTTGACACAAACTCACTACCATTATAGTATGCTCCTCACTTAGCCACGAATTAGTTTACCAACGTGGTCTTCAGAACGCAACTCTTTCGTTAAGTGAGGAGAGGCTGTATATGTTATACATTTGTCATAAATTACTGTATTGTAAACTTCATTATTGTTTTTAACTAAGATTAGGAGCCTCTGCAGTTATTCTCCTTGTAAATAATTTCTGTTTTTGTTGATATTAATGTATAAAAATTTACAAGACTATTACTCGAGGCATTAAACTTTTTGTACTATTTAATTTGATGACAAACTAGCGTATATTATTGCCATTTTTTTACATTAAAATAAAGGCACCTTACAACGTAAAAACATTTTTTGTGTATGTATGTGTTTATGTGTTTATGTTGTGTTTTATAGACAGTGGTCAAACATGCCCAAAGTTTATTAAAAATTTCTGTTTTTCTTTTAGGCTGAGATTCATTTCATTTAAGATGGTATATGCAGATTTGTTAATCTGCACTTAAGCAAACCTTTCTAAACATTGTTTAATGTTATTAAAATGTTTAACTTTCATTATCAGAAATAAATTTTGTATAGACTTGGCTTGTTTGGTAAAACGATCATTGTTTTATAAGTTAGTGTCGCAGTTGTGGCTGATGCACACGAGTGTGTGTGTGTGTGTGTGTGTGTACGCACTGTAACAGTCCTTCTGACTCCAGGAGGTGCACAGCTTTAGTGCTTAATGGTGCAACAAGTGCCAGATGAGCAAGGTTGTGGTAGCCATGTATGCCTGCAGGCTCCTGGCACCAGCAGCCTGGTTAAGTAGTCAGTAGGCAAGTTTGAGCTCAGGCTGGGCTGCCAGGCTCGGTGCAGCCCCAGACATCAGTCACAGCTACCTGTACGCACTTCTTAAGGAAGCGCTGCTGAGGAGAATGGACGTGAATGCATTTATTTAGGACACCTTTATGAAGTTGATTTTATTTTTATATTTAGTAATTTATATAGGAGAAGGGGTTACTAGCCTCTTGCTTCTTGCATTTTAGTATCCTCTTACGACACACATGGCTTCCAGGGGAAGGCTTCTAACCCACTTCCCTATGGAGTAGGACCAAAATGTCTTCAGTAAATGTGTACTGAGTGAAATTGTTCCTGTCCATTTTCCTCGTGTTGTCCACAGTTGTTTGTGTACGTAGGACACAAAGCGCTGGTACTTCTCCTGGGTTGCTGTGTCACCACTGCGATGCTTTGGGTAGTAGACTTGTGCATAAAAAATTGAAGTTGTATTCACTAAGTTAACTGGTGAACTTGAAGTTGTATTCACTAACTTAGCTGGTGATCTTAAAGTTGTATTCACTGCCATGAACATCTTTTGCCTTATGACAGTTCTAATTGTATGAACTTGATTGTAACTGCCCAGTTCTCAGCCACTTCTAACTGTAAGAACATTGTAACACTGCCCAGTTATTAATCGTACTGCCATATGCATCATGATAATCCACACACTGCCAGTGGAAACTATCCACACATATCCATTGCTACAGATCATACATGTATAAAGTTAAAAACTTAAGTGCAATGTTAGAAGTCTTTGTATTTTAGGTATTAATATAACTACTATTATAGTCACAACAAAAGTGCTAAACCCACATGGGCATTCGGCACTGCATAGGTTTATAATTATGTGTAGTCCTTGACTTTATTTCACTGCCATTCTCAAGAATATGTAATTTTAATGTAGTTAGTGCTTGAGCATAAGCTGGCATTACCTTAGATTACATTTATAATGTAATATTAATATTAAATTAATATACGTGTGTGAAACTTGTAACAAAATTGTCTACTGGGGGGGATATTTGAGACAGTTTTGAGGAAATATGAAGTTGAATGGTCTGGATGGTGTCGGAAATCTGCAGTTTGAAAGGAATGTAGATTACAGGCGGTCCTCAACTCACAATGGGGTTACATTCCGTCGAACCCAACGTAAGACAATAACGTCACAAGTGAATACGAACGTGATATTCAGTGGAACCTGGGTTTTTGTTTGCCCTAGTCTGTATGCAAAACTATTGTTATTCTCTATAAAACGTATTTTTTTTTTTAATATTTTTGGGTATCTGGAACGGATTAATTGGATTTACATTATTTCTTATGGGAAATATTAACAAAACATACATTTATAGAGAATAACAATAGTTTTAGAGTCAAACTAGGACATACAAAAACCCAGGTTCCGCTGTGCTAAATAAATCTCTCACTGAATAGGTAAATAATTAATTACTGTAACTTAATACCAGCAGTGAAATGTAAATAAATAAATACAAGTTAGGGACTTGTCGCCTTCGTGCTACGTAATTATCTCAAGTTTCATCTCTGGAGTAATTACTTGTACACCATCGTTAAGTTGGAATATTGTTAGTTGAGGAGCTGCTGTATTAGGGTGTGTGTGAGGGAGTACTCAAGTGTCACTGTACGACTTGAAGTCCACAACTTTGTTCTTCTGAGAGAAGGTGGGTTTTGTAGTTTAGGCTAATTCACTTAACAGCAAGCAACACTGACTCAGTCAACAGCAAGCAACACTGACTCAGTCAACAGCAAGCAACACTGACTCAGTCAACAGCAAGCAACACTGACTCAGTCAACAGCAAGCAACACTGACTCAGTCAACAGCTAGCAACACTGACTCAGTCAACAGCAAGCAACACTGACTTAGTCAACAGCAAGCAACACTGACTCAGTCAACAGCTAGCAACACTGACTCAGTCAACAGCTAGCAACACTGACTCAGTCAACAGCAAGCAACACTGACTTAGTCAACAGCAAGCAACACTGACTCAGTCAACAGCTAGCAACACTGACTCAGTCAACAGCAAGCAACACTGACTCAGTCAACAGCAAGCAACACTGACTCAGTCAACAGCAAGCAACACTGACTCAGTCAACAGCAAACAATATGTTAAATAACAGGCCACAAGTGCAAGTAACATAACATTATTGTGACGGTGTTCTGCTCTCCGACGGCTTGACAGTAAAATGTCAAGTTAGTTGCACTTGTGTCCTGTTAATTAACATATTGTTGGTAATTCTTCCAACATTATTACAAAAATCAGCAACATGCTGGAGTGTTGTTTGTGACTCTGGCAGAGTGTGTGTTGCTTGTGTATTAAAACAACAACACTTCAAGCAAGACATTTTTCACAGTATGTTAAGTTAACCTAACCTATCCTAACTTTACTTTATTTAACTTAACTTGAATCTAGTTTTACCTTATCTAACTTGACCTAACCTAACTTTACTGAGCTTAACTTAACCTACATAGAGGTAAATGCAGCTAGTAAATAGGCACACTGACTCATAGAAAGCTAGATTGTGGGGAGGGTTGAGGGAGTAGGTAAGAAAGTTGACTGCTGGGAGAGTGAAGTGTCCTAAGGTTGACCTGTGTGGAGAAAGTTGACTGCTGAGAGAGTGAAGTGTCCTAAGGTTGACCTGTGTAGAGAAAGTTGACTGCTGAGAGAGTGAAGAGTCCTAAGGTTGACCTGTGTGGAGAAAGTTGACTGCTGAGAGAGTGAAGTGTCCTCAGGTAGAACTGTGTGGAGAAAGTTAGCCTCCTGGCTCGGTCACGGTTATGCACTGCAGATACAATTAATATACAGCCTCTCCTCACTTAGCGACGTACTTGTTTACCATCGCCTCGGACTTACAACGGCCTCTCTGACTAGTATGCAGACCTAAATAATGCAATAAGATCACAGTAAACAGGTGATATCAGAATATGCAAAACAATCACTGTGAAAGGATTGTGAAATTCCAAGCACTTTGCAAACCTGAATTATGTATATTAGAGCTAATTTCCTCTAGTCTGTTGATTACAATATACAGTACACTATATAAACATTTAAAAATATACCAGAAATATTTTAAATGGCACAAAGGTGATATTAAAACATCAAAGATGGTTGACACAAACCCACTACCATTATAGTATGATCCTCGTTTAGCCACGAATTTGTTTGCCAATGAGGTCTTAGAAGCGCAACTTTGTTGTTAAGTGAGGAGAGGCTGTACAATCCAATTTGGTGGTTTCCAATCTTTGGTCTAACTGTTGCTGTTTTTGTGAATGCCACACCCATGTGGGTCACACCCATGTGGGTCACACCCATGTGGGTCACACCCATGTGGGGTCACACCCATGTGGGTCACACCCATGTGGGTCACACCCATGTGGGTCACACCCATGTGGGTCACACCCATGTGGGTCACATCCATGTGGGTCACACCCATGTGGGTCACACCCATGTGGGTCACACCCATATGGGTTACACCTGTGGAGGTTACTCTAAGCAGTTGTCCATGTTTGAGTGTGTCTCCTGCTTGGGGTTATTGACACAACCTAACCCTGGGGTCACAACTCCAGGCGGGGTCACAACCCCAGGCGGGGTCACAACCCCAGGAACGATCGTTAAACGCCATTAAACTATTTCATTTAATGACAATAATTATGTGATTAAGATGGGTGATAAACCTTCAAAGAAACTGTAGAAGGTCATGTCTAAAAGTCTGCAATTATTATTAATTATTACTATTATTATTATTATTATTATATTTATTGGGAAGCAATAAATCCATGAGGGTCATAGAATGCCTGTGGTACAGGAGGTATCGGGTTTGATCCAAGGAAGGGAGGGGTGAGCAGGAAGGTAACTCACCCACCTTGATAAGACTGCCTCATCATTCCTGTGTATTCAGTTTGACATTTTTGTGATAATGTGTGTTAGGCAGGATAATAAGTGTTTAAAATATTGTATAATCATTGTTAAGTGGTATAACACTTGCTAAGTGATGCAACACTTGCTAAGTGATGCAACACTTGCTAAGTGATCCAACACTTGCTAAGTGATGCAACACTTGCTAAGTGATCCAACACTTGCTAAGTGATCCAACACTTGCTAATGATGCAACACTTTGCTAAGTGATGCAACACTTGCTAAGTGATCCAACACTTGCTAAGTGATCCAACACTTGCTAAGTGATCCAACACTTGCTAAGTGATCCAACACTTGCTAAGTGATGCAACACTTGCTAAGTGATGCAACACTTGCTAAGTGATCCAACACTTGCTAAGTGACGCAACACTTGCTAAGTGATGTAACACTTGCTAAGTGATGCAACACTTGCTAAGTGATGCAACACTTGCTAAGTGATGCAACACTTGCTAAGTGATGCAACACTTGCTAAATGATCCAACACTTGCTAAGTGATCCAACACTTGCTAAGTGAAGCAACACTTGCTAAGTGATGCAACACTTGCTAAATGATGCAAACACTTGCTAAGTGATCCAACACTTGCTAAGTGATCCAACACTTGCTAATGATGCAACACTTGCTAAGTGATGCAACACTTGCTAAGTGATCCAACACTTGCTAAGTGATCCAACACTTGCTAAGTGATGCAACACTTGCTAAGTGATGCAACACTTGCTAAGTGATCCAACACTTGCTAAGTGATCCAACACTTGCTAAGTGATCCAACACTTGCTAAGTGATCCAACACTTGCTAAGTGATCCAACACTTGCTAAGTGATCCAACACTTGCTTCAAGCAGACACTCGGATATCTTGCAACTATTATCACCTTGCAAACTTGGTGCCATTTTTTTCGACTGCAGTTGAAGAACAAACGTATGCCATATGGATCAGCAACATTATGATAGGCCTATTTATGTGCTGTTCAGTTTTATAGACATTTTTTTAACTTAATTTAGAAAAAATGCAGAAACCAGAGGAACTCCATACAAGAGTTGACGGCAATAATAATACAGTGGTACCTTACTATACGACAAGCTCCCAACTTAAACAATTATGTAAGTGTATTTTTGTAAGTGTATTTTTGGGGTGAAATGGATTAATCGAGTACAGCTCAGTACTCGAACAGATCAGTACTCGAACAGATCGGTACTCGAACAGATCAGTACTCGAACAGATCGGTACTCGAACAGATCGGTACTCGAACAGATCGGTACTCGAACAGATCAGTACTCGAACAGATCGGTACTCGAACAGATCAGTACTCGAACAGATCGGTACTCGAACAGATCAGTACTCGAACAGATCAGTACTCGAACAGATCGGAAACTCAACAGATCAGTACTCGAACAGATCGGTACTCAAAACAGATCAGTACTCGAACAGATCGGTACTCGAACAGATCAGAAACTCGAACAGATCGGTATTTCGAACAAAATCGGTAACTCGAACAGATCGGTACCGAACAGATCGGTACTCGAACAGATCAGTACTCGAACAGATCGGTACTCGAACAGATAAATACCCCGAACAGATCGGTACTCGAACAAAATCGGTCCCTTCGAACAGATCAGTACTCGAACAGATCGGTACTCGAACAATCAGTACTCGAACAGATCGGTACTCGAACAGATCATTTACTCGAACAGATCGGAAACTCGAACAGATCAGTACTCGAACAGATCGGTACTCGAACAGATCGGTACCGAAAGATCGGTACTTCGAACAGATCGGTACTCGAACAAAATCGGTACTCGAACAGATCGTACTCGAACAGATCGGTACTCGAACAGATCATACTCGAACGATCGGTACTCGAACAGATCGGTACTCGAACAGATCGGTACTCGAACAGATCGGTACTCGAACAGATCGGTACTCGAACAGATCGGTACTCGAACAGATCGGTACTCGAACAGATCGGTACTCGAACAGATCGGTACTCGAACAGAGGGGTAAACTCGAACAGATGGGTTTCTCGAACAGATCGGTACTCGAACAGATCGGTACTCGAACAGATCGGTACTCGAACAGATGGGTACTCGAACAGATCGGAAACTCGAACAGATCGGTACTCGAACAGATCGGTACTCGAACAGACCAGTACTCGAACAGATGGGTACTCGAACAGATCGGTACTCAAAACAGATCGGAAATTTCGAACAGATCAGTACTCGAACAGATCAGTACTCGAACAGATCGGTACTCGAACAGATCGGTACTCGAACAGATCGGTACTCGAACAGATCGGTACTCGAACAGATCGGTACTCGAACAGATCAGTACTCGAACAGATGGGTAATTCGAACAGATCGGTACTCGAACAATCGGTACTCGAACAGATCGGTACTCGAACAGATCGGTACCGAACAGATCGGTACTCGAACAGCTCAGTCTCGAACAGATCGGTACTCGAACAGATCGGTACTCGAACAGATCAGTACTCGAACAGATCAGTACTCGAACAGCTCAGTACTCGAACAGATCAGTACTCGAACAGATCGGTACTCGAACAGATCGGTACTCGAACAGATCGGTACTCGAACAGCTCAGTACTCGAACAGATCGGTACTCGAACAGATCGGTACTCGAACAGATCGGTACTCGAACAGATCGGTACTCGAACAGCTCGGTACTCGAACAGATCGGTACTCGAACAGATCGGTACTCGAACAGATCGGTACTCGAACAGATCGGTACTCGAACAGATCGGTACTCGAAAAAGATCGGTACTCGAACAGCTCGGTACTCGAACAGATCGGTACTCCGAACAGATCGGTACTCGAACAGATCGGTACTCGAAAAGATCGGTACTCGAACAGATCGGTACTCGAACAGATCGGTACTCGAACAGCCTTCTGGAATGAATTAAGGTCGCATACCGAGGTACCACTGTAATAATATCATTATTTCCACAACGTACATACAATTACAAAATTGTATAACATTACTAAATTAAAAAAGTCTCTGGTTTACTGAGCATTTCATGCAAACTAAAAGTCTAACTTAAAACTAACAAAATCTAACTTAAAAACTGCACCATTTTCAAAACACTTCCGTATGTCCGAGTGTTTGCTCGGTTTAAAAAAAAACATTAAATGTTTTTGTACAATGATGAACAATTATGTGTACAGTGTAACCTGTTTTAAACTTTGTTATAAGAGAAGGTAGAGTGGATCCTGTTTTATGGTTTCAAATTGTTTCTTATAAGCAGTATAAAACCTCTCACATGTGGACTGGAACAACATGTGGACTGGAACAACATGTGGACTGGAACAACATGTGGACTGGAACAACATGTGGACTGGAACAACATGTGGACTGGAACAAACATGTGACTGGAACAACATGTGGACTGGAACAACATGTGGACTGGAACAACATGTGGACTGGAACAACATGTGGACTGGAACAACATGTGGACTGGAACAACATGTGGACTGGAACATGTGGACTGGAACAACATGTGGACTGGAACAACATGTGGACTGGAACAACATGTGGACTGGAACAACATGTGGACTGGAACAACATGTGGACTGGAACAACATGTGTCTCTATATTCATTTATTTTGTATATTATTTTTAAATATGTTTTTAGTAAACTTTACTAGTCAAGTTATTTTTAATTACCAGCAACACTTGTAACACTTGTAACACTTGTAACACTTGTAACACTTGTAACACTTGTAACACTTGCAACACTTGTAACACTTGTAACGCAACACTTGTAACACTTGCAACACTTGTAACACTTGCAACACTTGTAACACTTGTAACACTTGTAACACTTGTAACACTTGCAACACTTGTAACACTTGTAACACTTGTAACACTTGTAACACTTGTAACACTTGCAACACTTGTAACACTTGTAACACTTGTAGCAACACTTGTAGCAACACTTGTAACACTTGTAGCAACACTTGTAGCAACACTTGTAGTAACACTTGTAGCAACACTTGTAACACTTGTAGCAACACTTGCAACACTTGTTTTTAGTAAACTTTACTAGTCAAGTTATCTTTAATTACCAGCAACACTTGCAACACTTGTAACACTTGTAACACTTGCAACACTTGTAACACTTGTAGTAACACTTGCAACACTTGTTTTTAGTAAACTTTACTAGTCAAGTTATCTTTAATTACCAGCAACACTTGCAACACTTGTAACACTTGTAGCAACACTTGTAGCAACACTTGCAACACTTGTAGCAACACTTGAAGCAACACTTGTAGTAACACTTGCAACACTTGTAGCAACACTTGTAACACTTGCAGTAACACTTGTAACAACACTTGTAACACTTGTAGCAACACTTGTAACACTTGTAGTAACACTTGTAACACTTGTAGTAACACTTGTAGCAACACTTGTAGTAACACTTGTAACACTTGTAGCAACACTTGTAACACTTATAGCAACACTTGTAACACTTGTAGCAACACTTGTAGCAACACTTGTAGTAACACTTGTAACACTTGTAGCAACACTTGTGGTAACACTTGTAGTAACACTTGTAACACTTGTAGCAACACTTGTAACACTTGTAGCAACACTTGTAACACTTGTAGTAACACTTGTAGTAACACTTGTAGCATCACTTGTAGTAACACTTGTAGTAACACTAGTAGCAACACTTGTAGTAACACTAGTAGCAACACTAGTAGCAACACTTGTAGTAACACTTGTAGTAACACTAGTAGCAACACTTGTAGTAACACTTGTAACACTAGTAGCAACACTTGTAGTAACACTTGTAGTAACACTAGTAGCAACACTAGTAGCAACACTTGTAACACTTGTAGTAACACTAGTAGTAACACTAGTAGCAACACTTGTAGTAACACTAGTAGCAACACTTATAGTAACACTTGTAGTAACACTAGTAACAACACTTGTAGTAACACTTGTAGTAACACTAGTACCAACACTTGTAGTAACACTAGTAGCAACACTCGTAGTAACACTTGTAGTAACACTAGTACCAACACTTGTAGCAACACTAGTAGCAACACTTGTAGTAACACTAGTAGCAACACTTGTAGTAACACTTGTAGTAACACTAGTAGCAAAACTTGTAGTAACACTTGTAGTAACACTAGTACCAACACTTGTAGCAACACTAGTAGCAACACT